AGGAAGGAAGGGTTTCGGGTTGAGCATTAAAACCGAACCAGACCGATATATATATTTCGGTTCGAACTGACCGGACCGATATATATTTTGGTTCGGACTGACCGAACCGAAATATATTTAGGTTCGAATTCGGTTTGGGGTTTAGATGAAATCGGGGATCCAGTATGCTCCATTTCGGTTCGGTTTTGACCGAACCGATGCCCACCCCTAGATTATAGGGATTCTGGTACTTGCAGAAAAAAGAGTTTTGAAATGGTTAGTTAAACACATCGCCACTTCATCTTGACCCTCCTTTATTCCTCCAGCTTCATCAACCAACCTTCTTATTATGTTTCTATTACGTCTGTCTGAGGCCTTCCTATGAAAGTATTTAGTATTTTTGTCTCCCCCTTGTAATCAATCTGCTCTAGAACGTTGTTTCCCGTATAATCTCTTCCTTCATTAGGATCTCATTCAGTTCTCTCTCAATTGCCTTCGTCTGTAGAATGACAACAACATTCGTTTTCCTTTTCTCCAACAAATCAAAGGCTTTTTCTACTTTTTTCTTTCTATTCCTGAGATCACCAATGGTCGTCTTACTCCACTTAAGTAATTTGGTTTAGCGATTGGTAATCTTGTCAATGATAGAGAGCCCACTTCTCTTGTTCCATCCTTCCGCACTGACCTCTTTACATTCATCATGCTTCTGCCAGTATAGCTCAAAGAAAAAATTCCACCCCCACCTTATATCATCAGCTACCAGTTGTGTTTGGAGGAAAATGGGTGAGTGATTTGATCCGCACCGTTTTAGGTGGTGGACTCTAGTGTGCGGATAGATGGATTGCCAAGAGCTAGTTGCTACCATTCTGTCCAAACGTTATTCTAGATAGGTGTCATCTGAATGATTGTTACCCCACATAAAAGTCTCGCCATAGTACCCAAGATCCTCCAAATCACAGTCTTCCAGCGCATCATTAAACATGTCCATTTCATGTACATTAGCCAGGTTCAAACCATTTTTCTCTTCGTAACTCTGAATGAGGTTAGAATCACCACAAACAAGCCATGGTAGATCAGGCATATCCCTAAGCTGTCTGAGCAATGTACAGGTTCTATGTTTGTTATCTTGCTCCGGCCAACCATAAATACCTGTCAACCTCCATTGAATGTCGTCGTCGTTCACGCAAACGTCAATGTGATTAGTTGACTTGGATTTGACTACCACCTCCATCTCAGACTACCAGACCATCAATAAACCTCCTGCCCTTCCCATCGATCCTACTCCTTTTCCTTTCTCCCAACCGAGATCCTTGATTACTTTCCCCCATTCATTTTCTTTCTTTTTTTGTTTCCATTAGAAAAATAATCTTGGGGTTTTGTCGCTGGAGCAGTTGCCCTCCTTTCCTAATTGCCAGGGGATTCCCCAACCCCCAACAATTATAGTTAGGCAGCCCTGCTGCTTGGTAGGGTCTACCTCTTCGCCATCCATATTTTTCCTGGTATCAGCTGCCTTTTGTTTCTTACTAGGGGAATCATCTGCATCGTGAGTATTAAGCTCTAGTCCTCTCTTATGGGGTGTTAACATAACCTGTTCTGTCTGCCTTTGTTTTGAGGCTTCCCTGTTTGTCTTTACCAATGGTTCTGCTTCTTTTATGTTAGTTCCTTATGTGGTAGGCACCTTGGATTGAAACCAAGATTGGAGATCCCCCTTCAAATAGTGTTCCTGTGGGTTCTGGGGCTACAGAGGGCCAACCAGTTAACAGGTGCGGTGCCCGATCTTTCTGGGCTAAGCTATATTGAGCGGAAGATCCAAAGATCCAGTGAGAAGGGAGAGAAGATGAGGGAGATTAAAAGTTAAAATAGACCAATTAAGCACTGTTACCGGTGGGGGAACGATCGGAGGCGTGTAAAGGCTAGTACTGGGCCATCCAATATAGTGTATTTGGGATTTGGTATTTTGGAATTTGGTATTTTGAGGAAGAAAGAGAACACAACGCAGATGAAGAGGGGAGGTCAGGTATGATCACGATGAGAGAGAGTAAAGTTTGGAAATTTTGCTTTTAAAATTTTATTTAATTATTTTTTCATACAATGTGGAATCCATGTCATCAATATTGGGTGATTGGACAATGACGTGGTGCGTTGACCGTTAGTCAATGCATTTGACCGTCTAAGATAACAGTCAATTTTGGGGTTAGACCTATTTCGTTACTTTGGTGTATAGTTCAGGCCATGATGTTATAGAACGAAAAGATTGGTCAGGATGTTTATTATATGAAAAGTTCAGGCCATTCAAATATATTAACCCTAAAGTTTAATCAAACCTAATGCATTTATTATCAGCAGACACATATACCTCTCTCATTAATGACATCTCATCAGCTAAACTTGATCAACAATTCTGTGCAATCGTTGTCAAGAATTTTAGCTATTAATTCAATATGTTCATTTAATGCAAACCATTTCGTCCAAGTAATCGCCGGTTTTGTGAAGTAATAAATTCTACAGACGGACGGACTGACCGACTCAGAGTAAACTGTCTTCGCTTGTTGGAAACGGGGGTAGAGCCGCCGTAGAGGTAGTTGGCCAATAAACAAAGAATATTATGCATTGCTGCTCTGGCTTTCTTTTTCTCCCCGTTTTGTTGATGTCTCCGTTTGTGGTGGCACCAATTATCACAATAAACAGTGTTAATTAGTTTCAAAGTCGGTATTTTTATAAATTACGTGACCAATTAAAGTCGGCACTCCATGAAAGTGAAAACTACTTTTGTAATTGTTTCTGTTATTCTTTCTAGTTCTAGGCATGGTTCATGAAACCGTACCGGAGACCATACCGGGAAAGTCAGCGATAGAGTATTTTATGGTAAAATCAATCATGCTTTAACCGTAGTTCCACCGTTGTACCGTTAAATACCGCCTACCGGTTTAACCTCCGATACTGGTATTTCGTGGTTGAACCACCAGTACGGTACGGTTTCATGGACCATGGTTCTAGGTAGTGGGTAGGCAAAACCCATATGATACGTGTCATTCCTTGCTAGTCGTGGGATTTCAATTCCCCCGCAATTCAGGATGATAATTACATTTGGGAATTGCTATTTAACAACTAAATCTTTGTCTTACAATTTAATATATAAATTATTAAAGCTTTACAAACAAGTCTTGATTGGATATGCATAGTTCTAATAACAATATAAAAAAAAATGGACAAACCCATATCCAAATCAAACACTTATATTATAAGCTTCACTCTTTATAAAGTTTGCCACGTATGCAATTCTAGCTTCTCCAGATTTCAGGGAGGGGCATTTCGGCCAAAGTGAAAAATGCTATATGAGTCATCATATTTGGGGTATTTAATTATGAGTGAGAGGTGGAATTGATGACCAAGCGAAGTCCCAGGAGCCTTCCGTTGCATTTTGGCCAAAGTGGGAAAAGCAAGCTGAGTCATCAAAAGCTCCATCCATTCCCCATGCCTCTTTAGTCTTTTCCGTTGCATTTTGGCCAAAGTGGGAAAAGCAAGCTGAGTCATCAAAAGCTCCATCCATTCCCCATGCCTCTTTAGTCTTTACTGATAAATTCCATCAAAGGCTCCATCAATTTCCCCCGCCTCTTTATTATTGATAATTCACCCGCCTCTTAATTGATGGGAACGCAGCTCAGTACGGCAGCAGCTCTTGGAACGTAGAAGCCACGGCGACAAATCCGGTGACCTGCAGTAATTGCAATTCAGCCGTACAAATCGGGATTTCAAAGTGTCCGTTCTCAAGGAAAACTTCAGGCCATGTAACAATCAGCTATTCATTCAGTTTGAACCCGATACACTGGTGACCCACGTTGCAGCTGTTGCTGAAATTCCAGCATTCAGGTTCAATTTCATCAAATATGATGAAATTGCACCAAGAAGTGGACAGAATCAATGGTTAATAGGTATCTATCTACATACCTTATACTTAACATATCGGCCACCTTCAATTACTTATCCACACACTCAATTGAAACCACTATTGCTCATAGATGCTGTAGGCCACTTAAAAAACTACTCGGAGCTCAAGACAACAACTTCTCTTATTCGGACCACATCCCGCAAGGAACTTCATGTTCAGCTAGCAGAGTAATAACCTCCCTTCTCTGAATTATCTAATGTTTACATATATTTAATACAAAATTTGAAACATATCATTCCTATTCAGAGGCCCTCCTGTGAGAGTCACCATATGGGACAGAGTCATTGACCAATTCGATGCAATCATCGATGCAAATGGAAATGAAGAAATTGTCTTGGTCATCACATCTGTCTGGGTGAAAAAACAGCAAGGTAATTTTTTATGCTACCATCAAACGAGTCTCCTTGAGCATCTTGATAATGTTAACACCACCAACTTTCAACAGGTGAAGATACTCTGTCAGCTACAGGAGCAACAAAATTGTATGCAAACATGGACATTCCAGAAGCCATTGCACTTCGAAATAGGTACACATCATATTTTCCTTTATATATTCGTAATAAACATAGCAACCTCAATCTTCATGCACACTGACATAGAAATTTTGATGCCAAGGAACCATGGAATTGAAGTACCTGTTCTTATTCCACAAAACCAACCACCTGAAATTCCTGCCATCAACATAGAAGACCTTGCCTCATTGGAAGCTATGGAAAACAATATGGTAAAAGCACAAAAACATTACATATATAATATTGCCATTGCTTAATTCAACAAACTAACAGCCTGTTATAAATACAGAACCAAGTCTTCTCAGTCCAGGGTACAGTGCTCGGCATAAAACCCAAATGGTTTTACATGGGATGTGCTACGTGCCCAATCAAAGTGGAATCGGACATGCCTGAATACTCATGCACAGAATGTCAGACCATTCAGACCAAAGCCATAGAGAGGTACGTAAGACACCAACCACAGATCATCACACAAAAAAAAAACAAGAATACATCACTAGCGATACATTGATTCTCATTTTGTTAATTCAATCAGGTATCGAGTCCATCTCATTGTGAAGGACAACACCGGCCGAGCTGATTTCATCATCCTAGATCGTGCAGCCCGTCGCTTCTTTGGCATCGAAGCTGAGAAACTCTGCAACACGAGTACATATGAGAAGGACCAACTGCCAAGCATTTTGCTGCAAGTTGTCAACATGCAGTTGAAGTTCCACATAAGACTCACCAACTTCAATTACACACACCCCAAAACTGAGTACACAGTCATCAACATCACTGATACACCAATCCAAGTAAGTATAACAAATTAACCTACTTCCCGTATCAGTACCTACGTATCTATACAAAGAAGAGTACTAAATAACAAAAGTTCAAAAAATACTATATGCAATTAAGTTATTTCACCAATCCCTGATAGTAGATATTTCACCACCGACACACCATCCTACATAGTGCTACATTTACACACATATATATCCATATTTTGTAATTCTACAAACAAAACACAAACAGAATACCACAATACTAATTGCTCTTTTTCTAAAATGCAAAAACAGGGAACAGTGCCACAAAAAACAACCAATGAAGGAAGCAGCTCCAACATATCAGGTGCGAATCAAGGACCCAGCTCAAACATTACAGGTGAGAACTCAACAAAAGAGAATGACCCAAAAGACATCGACGAGGCAAACCCAGATTCTACAGAACCGGACAACATCCACACCAAAAAGAAGCCACGTGTTATCATCTCTGATGATGAAAATTGATGAATATGTCTGCTTAGTAGTTACCGCTTTCGTGCTGTATTCCAAGTAGATGACACTCTACAATATCTAAATAAAAACAGCATTACAATAAAACAATGGGAAGAAAACTACATATAAATAACAAACTTCTTAAACTTCCCGTCATCGCTGTTAATAAAAACATCTTTCTTTGCTCAGTTTGCCCAAGATTGTAATGATCATATTTCCACATAAATAAAGCAAAGGTTGAATATAAAAATAAATGAGACCACACTACGATTCACTAAGACCACCACATGCCCTCCACAACATCTACGTTCCGAACAGACAACACTACACTACACTAAATCAAGAATCAAGGTGGCTAGACCAACCAATTTAGAACAACGCTCGCAGAGCATACACACCCCGGCCAACAGGCCGGACACCAACTAGTAGAATAAGATACGAATATCCATATCTAAACTTGATTACAATGCTCACAGACAGTGACGGAACCAGAAATATGAACAACAAAGACTAATTCAAATTGTGGTAATTGATAAAGAAGGCTACAACCTTATCAGCTACATTATTTCCTAAATTTGTCACCTTGCAATCCTATGACCCAAATTATCCAAATCTTGGACACAACTTGTGGAATTATATCCAAACTACAAATTTCCTGAAATTAGGCATGACAGTCAAATTCCAGTGGCAAAACGGTGTCATTCTGTCAGATCATCATCCACCGGCGGATACAGGGGGGGCCAGACTGGGCCCAGCCCTCCCTGCCTCCCCAAGACCCAACCCAGCAGCATTTTAATATGTAATTATTTGGGCCCAGCCCCTATCTCAAGACCCACCCCAGCTGGCCAGCCCTGCAGCCCAAACAACCCAAATAATCTCCCGCCGACCCGCCCCTATTCCTCATTAGTCATTAGCTTTCCCTGCAAGTTTGGAACAAAAAAAAAAATAGAAGACGAACAGACCTGCTGGTCGCTGATCGGCTCGCTGCTCCCGCTCCAGTCCCCACCTCCCCGAAGGCCGAGACCGGAGACCCTGTCACCCTGATCCGGCGGCCGGCGCTGGAGATCCCCTGGCCAGGCTGGCCTCATTCTTTCTCCGCCGCAGCAACGGCTTTGAGTTTGTGATTCTCTTATCTCATCTGTGAATTGTGATCTGTCTATTATTGCAAAGAAAGTATGTTATTGGTATGGATGAAGACTCAATTATTGACGAATTTGCTAAATTAAAAGACCGTCGTGTACAATTGACATTGTAATGCAAACTATAATTTTTTTTGTTTACGGTATTTAATTTATGTTCGAATCCGGCCCAGTGCACTTCTATATCCTGGATCCGCCGCTGTCATCATCCACATTATCTTTGCATGGTAACGCGTGAAAAACACTAACTACTATACTTGACAAAATTCCAGCTCCGTTCCTATTTCTTTGGAATTGTTTTTTCTAGCCCAAAAGAAGGAAAAACAGAAATGGTAGTAAAAAAGAAGACGAAAATAGCCGCAAACCTTAATCTGGGTTTTGGTTTTTTTAATTTCAAACTAGGTGACATCATGCCGTGGACATTGATGACGGTATTACTCGATATGATCCGCGATGGGCGGGTATTACCCGACCCGTAGGGCAGGGCATGGGTATCTACTTCCTATCCGCCTTGTCCCGTTTTTTGCCCATTCTATCTCAATTTTTTACAATATCTATACATATTTCTCCTATTTTGACTTTTCTTCAACGAATTAGAGTCAATCTTTCAACTGGTTAGATTCAATTACCTATTCTATTATCACTATTTTTCATTCATAAAGTGTTTTCCCCTTCGTTTTATCATAAAAAAATAAAATTTGCGTGTGTTTTTTTTATATAACATGTAAGAGTGGGTCGATCCGCCCATTCCATACTCACGCAGGTTTTACCCGCCCCAACCCATAATAACATGAACGCGGGACATAAGTATTGAGTTACCCGCCTCGCTCCGCGCGCCGCTCCGCACAATTGTCATCACTATTCCCCACCCGTCTCACACTCAACTCCCAAATTCTGCTTCTATAAATATCACAACTCATCAGCCACATTGGTCTAAAATTAAACCATCCCAACAAGCCAAATAGTGTTCTCACTTACAAACACAAAAAAACCAAGACAATTAACAAAAAAAAAATGGAGAGGATTAGCTGCAACAACACCATTAATGCTGCAGGTAAGATCAGCATTAGCAGTAATGCCGCTGCTAATCATCATGATCGTCATCATCAGCAGCAACAAAACGTGGTACTGTCTCCAATCACGGTGCCTTGTGATTCCAGCTACAACTCTCCTTCTCCTTCTCCCCCTTCCCACCACTCTTCCTCCTCCACTTCTCCCACCGCCACCGCCGCCGCCGCCGCCGGTGGTGGGTTTCCTTCTCACCGCCACCATCAGCAACAACAAGTGATTCTCAGCCCTTGTGCTGCCTGCAAGATCCTCCGCCGCCGGTGCGTCGACAAGTGCGTTCTGGCTCCGTACTTCCCTCCCACCGATCCCTTGAAGTTCACCATCGCCCACCGCGTCTTTGGGGCTAGCAACATTATCAAGTTCTTGCAGGTATGTTACGTATTGCTACTTTTTTTTTTTAATGCGGCCAGTAGCGTAGCCAGGATTTCACTTGAGGTGGGTCCGACATAAAAATAAAAATTATATAAAATGAATGAAATGACCTGTAACGCGTTTTATATAGTATGTCGACATATTTTCGTTGGAAGGTGGAAATTCGATACTAAATTAGAAATTAGTAAATTTATAATACATAATTAGGGACACGATTTTATATAAAGTCAAGAGTTGTTTATATAATGTGCTAGGTTCATGTGTACCACAATGTTTTCTACAATTTATTCGTGGATAAGTAAAACCAGTAAACATGAGGTGATAGATTCCAGAGTTATTGATTGTGTACAAAATATTGTTATCAGTGTAATAATTTATCAAGGATAGTAAATCCGTAGCAGTGGTTGTACTAAAAAGTTTAATAGTATGATATTTATGTTGAAACCACGGTTTAATCGTGATTCAACCGTTTCATACTACTAAAAAACCGTTTACGATTTAAAATCTAATAGAAGGTTTTCTCGATCGAACCACCTATACAATACGATGCAACCCTGTTATTATTTACGTATGGACATGCAGAATACTCGTTGCTTGTAGTCCATTTCTTCTTTTTCTAAAATTATTCATAAACGTCAATCTTATTAGACGAAACGTAAAATAATTAAAAAAATAAAATAGTTAGTCTAATTATGATAAGCCTTGGAAATTCTTCGCAATTGACCAATATTACCCATCTAAACCGTTAATTGTGCTATGGAAACATGGGTTTTCTCAAGATATTCCTTTCTTCTTGACTGACTTTTTCCTGTCTTGTGATTGGATGTATTGCCCACCTTCTGTTTTTTTTTTTATTGATTTGATGTATCATCTTTACCATGTCAACCATAGTTAGTTATGGTTTCTCTCCACTCTTTTTTGTGCTCTTCTTAATTATAATTGCTTTATTCAACTTAAGCATGCTGCCCTCAACAGCTTTATTGGTAGAAAAAGAAAAGAGTTTTCATATATAACTTGCATGGTCGTCCTTTTATATAACTTTTTTAGCATATATATAGTTAAATATTAGCGGAGGTCAATCGGGTTCATTCCATTATGATAATTAGTGTCTTAATCAATTTCTAACTGGAAGACAAACATAATTAAAAATTAGGGGAGACTTGATGATGATGACTTAGTTGGGTAATCAAATAATTAATCAGTAGAATTAACAAAATGTCTTTTTTTTTTGCTCATCAGGAGCTACCGGAATCGCAGAGGGCCGACGCAGTGAGCAGCATGGTGTACGAAGCCCACGCCCGGATCCGGGACCCGGTGTACGGCTGCGCGGGAGCGATCTGCCAGCTCCAGAAGCAGATCGGCGAGCTGCAGGCCCAACTGGCCAGGGCCCAGGCAGAGGCTGCGAGCATGCAGACCCAGCAGGCCCACTTGGTGGCGCTCATCTACATGGAGATGGCCCAAACGGGGTCGCTGGCCCATCAAGAACAGCCCATGATATTCCCCGAGCAAACGACGCCGCACCACCACCACCTCCAGTCTTCCAACAATATTGACACGGCTTGTTTCCTCGACGAGTCCTGGGAGCCACTCTGGACATGACGACGATGATGATGATTAGCTGCCTAATTAGCCGGAAATTTGCTGATTGGTTTTCCACTAACTATCGTTATTATGTTAATCAGCATGATTTTCTAGGCTTTAATGTGTTCTGATAATTTAATGTGGTGGGCCTGGGGGCCCATTAGGAGAAAAAAAGCAAGAGGGAAAAAGAAGAGACTGGATCCATACTTGAAGATTATACGAGGTGGAAAACTAAATATGGAAATTAAATAATTGAAGTGACTTAATTATTATACAAATCGGGAGGTTAGTTATGGACTTTGAATATGTGTCAGTTTGCAAATGTTGACTGAGACCCTCTTTAGAGAAAGGGACAATTAATTGTATTTTCGTTGTTGTGAGGCAACAAGTAATATACACACAAGAAGATGATTATAATTAATTAATTATAAGTCTGCCCTCCTGGGAAACATTGTAACGTACTAACGTAGTACTCAGCTCTTGAAATGAATGATAATAAAGACTTGCAAGATATTGATTTTTTGTTTTCATTTTAGATTTGTTTTTTTTTCAAATTCGACCTTAGGCTATTGTTTATCAATGATTAAGTCCATTAAGTAACGATTTGCATGAAATTTTTTTCAGGGTCACTTTTGACAGATTTCAAATGAGTATCATCACAATTTCGGGCAATTTTTTGAAAGACTATTTTTCTTGGATTTTGAAGATTACAGATCACGAATTACGACTTAGACTATTCTCCACCAATGGTAAAGTCATTTTACTTAGATTTTGAAGGCTACTACCGATCACAGATTCGGCTTGAGGCTATTCTCCACCTATGATAAAGTCTACTACTCGTCGATTGGGGCGAATTTTTTCAGAGGGCATTCTCGTAACATTTTGGGCAATTTTCCGAAAGGTCATTTTCCTTGGATTTTGAAGACTACGGATCACGGATTCAGTCAGAGGTTATTATTAACCAATGATTTAGGCAAATTTTCTCCGTGTTCATTTTAGGCAGATTTTAAAGGGTATCATCACATATTTCAGACAATTTTTTCGAAATACCATTTTCCTTGGATTTTGAAAGCTACAGATCACGTATTCGGCCTGACACTATTCTCTACCGATGAAAAAGTCTATTAATCGCCGGGTGGATTTTTGTTAGGAGGGCATTTTCGTAATTTATGGTATTTTTTGAAAGGCTATTTTCCTTAGATTTTGAAGGCTACAGATCACGGATTCGGCCTGAGGCTATTATTCACCGATGATTAAGTCTATTAAGCAACGACTTGGACAATTTTTTCCGGGTTCATTTTTTACAGATTCCAAAGGGATACCATCACAGATTTCGGGCCATTTTTTCGAAAGACCATTTTCCTTGGATTTTGAAGGCTACAGATCAGAGATTCAGCCTGAGACTATTCTCCACCAACGATAAAGTCTTTTAATAGCCGGTTTGGGCAGATTTTATTGGTGGGCATTTTCGTGATTTTTCGACAATCAATTTTCCTTAGATTTTGGAGACTGCAAATCACGTATTCGGCCTGAGGCTCGGTGAAGTCTATTAAGCACCGATTTGAACAGATTTTTTCGGGGCCATTTTTGACAGATTCCAAAGGGGTACCATCACAAAATTCGAGAATTTTTTTCGAAAAACCATTTTCCTTTAGATTTGGAACGCTACAATTCACGAATTCGGCCAGATTCTATTCTTCACCAATTATCAAGTATATTTATCGCACATTTAGGGGGGAAAACCAGATGACATTTTCATAAATTTTTGCACAATTTTTCAAAACACCATTTTCTTTGAAATTTTAAGGCTACATGTAAACTCTCTAATAAACATTCTAACTCGCCTCCACGAGTCCAAGTGTCCAACCATAACCGACTACTCTGATGTAGCAACCAAAGTAATCAATCATGGATACTTTTCCCCTTGCTCTAAAGCTCCCCAGGGCTGCCGCCGACATCTCTTGGTGACCGGCGGTAGCCCATCCCCTTTTCTTTCTTCCTGCTACCTCTTTTTGCTTCCCTGTCTTTGTTTCTGATGATTTTCACTATGTTTTTCCAGCTTTCAAGCTTTTCAAGCCATTCTTGACATTTCGCTCCCCTGTTCTAGAGTTTTTTGTTGGGATTTGCTCTCCTTTAGGGTTGGGTTATGCATCTTGGGTCTTCTTTCATGATGGTCGGTTTAACAGCTTATATGGTGAATCGATTCTCTGGTTTTCCCCTTCGTTCTTCCCAGGTGGTTGTTCTGCATCTTGGTGGCCGACGGAGGATGGATTGCAGTGTCTAGCCTTGCTGCTCGTGGGTTCAGTTCTTTGATCGGGGGATCTGGGTTCTTCTGCTTCCCTTGACCAAGTCTTGGAGCCTCGTCTTCCCCTGCCTCTTCAGCTCGGAGCATTTCGATCCTCATCTCTGTCCACCGCCATGTTATCTCTCACCCGTGATTCACTTTGTTGAGCGTCTTCGAGCGACTCCCAGGAGGCGGCTAATGACATTGTGTTCAATCGTCATGGACTCGGTCGGATCGGACGAGCTGATTGTGATTGGTGCTACTTCGTTTGTTTTGATTGCAAGAGAGTTTTCGGTGTATACAGTTTTTGGTTCAAGTGTTTCACATCCTTTGTTGGATGGCTCTTTCTGGGTTTTGTGCTCTTCTTGTTGTATCTCTGAAGCGTTGATTGAGCATCTATGTGCTTATGTTTCTCTGTTCTTGTTCTATTTTTGGTTTGCTCTGTTGGTTCTCTTGTAATCGATCATTCAAAGTGCAATGCAAGTATCCCTTTGTAAAAAAAACAAAAAATCATGGATAAGGGTTTTCCTTCAAAAAAAAGCTAGCACATCAATCCAGCTATAAAGTAGCAACCAGTTCTATAGCGAACTTAGACAAACTAGCTATATAGGCGCCACCATCATATCTTATCTTAGAAGTCCAGTTATTATTCTACCTTTGCCCCACTACTCAAAGTCAGCTCACAATTTTATAGATATGTATGACTTTGGAAAAATTAACTTTCATTCTCCTTTACAAATAAAACGAACCAGAGAAAAAGCTAGAAAAGATGAAAGAAGCTTTTTAGGAGTACCGTCATCTATCTAAGAATAAAGTTACTGTCCGGGCATACAATGAGTGACCCAAGTAAGGGGCCCAAGGAGTCGAAATGGGCCGGAAGTGTGGGCCTGGAAAAAGGAGGCCCGGCTCAAAGAAGGGCTAGAGGCTATGGCTCAGGCGGTGGGACCGGGCCTGAGGTAGGGCGCATGACGACAAAAGGGTGGCAACGGCCTGAAGCGTACGGAGAGGACAAGAGGTGGGGCCATGCGCCTCCCAAGGCAAGGGTCAGTGTCAGAGTGTCGGGGCGCATGAAGAGAGGAAGGTACCGTGCATTTAATGAGGTGATGACGTGGGGCGGATTTGGGGGGCAGTGGTCGATCCTACCCTGAGTATAAATAGTGAAGTGGGTGGAGCTCATTTACTCAGGTTCCAACTTCTCTCTAAAACTTGCATATCACTTCTCTCTCTAGAAAGATCGTTCTGACTTGGGCGTCGGAGTGCTAACGAGCCCTTCCCAAGGGGGCTCGGTGGGCGCCTTTGTGTGCATGAGGGAGGACGCGAAGCAGAAGCGTGTGGGAGATAGGTGGCGCGCGAGAATCATCGGGAGCGGAAGGTTACGTGCCACAAACAATTGCTATAATAAAGGTGGAATTTATCTTCATTGTTGCTCTTGAACCTCCATAGTCCATTCCATGTACTAGTTTCTTTCATGGACAATGCAAAGTTAATTTTCTTTGATTGAAATGGCATGTTTTGTTTCATGTTGGAAATGCAGTATTCCATTTTTTCTTCCACTCTCACAACGAACCATATGGAAACTGAAGCTAAGTGCCAATTTACAATTAATTGAATGTAGGACGCGACTACGGTGGAGAAATTAAACTGAAGAATTTTATGGTTTAACAAGGAAAATCAACAGGATATTTCTAGGCTGCGAAGTCTGGATTTAAAGTAAGCAACGTTGAAAACAACAAGTTGTACCAGCTTCTTACAATAAACCTAGAGTTTAGAGAAGGGAGACTAATAGCTCCCTATTCTACCACTTAATTTTAGATGATAACATTTTTTGAAGGCGGTTGTATTTAAGGAGAATCGCGATTTAATAGTGAAAGATATTTTGAGATCAAAGATTAAATTAATATTGCTTTCAGTTCGATTTGGTCCAGTCCAAATGTCAACTCGCCCAATTTTTCTTCGATATTTTATAAAACTCATGACACCAAAAACAGGACCGTATTATATTCGATTCGGTTTAATCCGATGCCGTCCAATATATACCAAACCTTTGCACATCGTAACCCTCCTGAATTATATACGTATGACTGACCGACCGATCGGTGCTGTAGATTGTAACAACTAACAGTTACGGTCATATATAGCGTCCTTTTATGAGTTTTGACTCACTGCATGCACGTCTCTATAACTGAGTGCGAGCATGATTAGTTATGAAACCCTATATATATAGCATTTATTAATATTAATTAGTCATGTCTCGTGAAAACTCGAGTTTTTATTGGAATAATTGTTCTTCGACATGGTATCATATTCTTTAATTGAAATATTAATTGTTTATATTAATCTGATGCAAAACTTCACCTACGACTTTCATTTAAAAGTAAATACAAATCGAAATTGTTACACAAACCTTTCAAATACAATTGAATACCATGATGACCACCACGAGTTGTAGTGATAAAATCATTGTTTTTGTAGTTGTAGTCGTTGTTCTTTGCAGTTGTAGGACTACAACTCCGATGCAATCAATATTGTTGTAGTCTTTTTTTTTTTACAATTATTGTGGTTATCTTATTACAGTATTACAACCCCCAACTCGGACACATGCAATCAATAGCTTATGAAACTATTGAACCACGATTTCAGTATAAAAAATCCTACACCTACTTTTTCCCCCGTAAAACATTCAGTACCGTCTCGCGGGTCTTGGTTGATCCTTCATTAACCCACAGCAAAGAGGGATTTTTTTCATACACACGCTTATTAGGAGTTGTTTGCCACCATGATCTAACGAGATTTTGTATGTTCTCATCCACACCCCCAACAATTCAAGCCACAGTATAATCACCATTGAAATCCATATAGATACATTTTTGGATTGTTTTGACGGAGTCAGTGGTGTTCATTGCCAGTGCCAACTGTACAATCCATCTAAAAGATATGTTACTACATACATTGATCCATTGAGTAGTTAGCTATTCCGACTGCCACTCAAATTTAACGGTCATTTCCTCTGTGTTGATAGAAGAGCTCCTGAAGAAATAACGGAACACTTCCAATGGTAGCTTCGACAGCTCTCGAGGATACAGCACTCGCAGCAACTTCAATCTAGGAAACGGAGAGGCCTTCCACGATTTCGTTAACGGCTTCATTCTACTGAAGGGAAGCTGGCGATCTCCCCAGGGGATTCCACTCTCCGACTAATCGAGGAAAAACAAACAATCAAATCGAGAGCGTTAAGGAATAACTTCAGCATACATTGGTATAAGCAAAGTGGTTTCAACTGTTCAGGACAACTATTCGTAGTAAATATAATACCGAATTCTGTTGCAGACAGTACCTTGTCAAAGCGAAGGATGAGAGACTCGACATGATGCAAACCTCGCAGTAGGTTGATATACGCACAACTGAAGCATTCCAATACTGTACGGTCTTTCCAATCATGCCGGTCTTGGCCCCAAAGGCGGATGTTTGCATGTGCCAGAGAAGGGAAGTTCAACTGGCGAATGTACTTTATATCTTCCATACTACACCAGAGACTGAAGGATTTGAGCTTTGGAGCAAACACTTCGACCCCACCAGAGAATGGTGAACTTCTGATTTCGAGGACCAGCAGTTGGGGCGACGATATTCGAAACCAACATTGTGCTGTGCAGCCATTCAACTTTAAGTAGTTCAAACAAGCTGGGAGATTAGCTAAAGGATGTACAGTAGGATAATCACTGAGACGACAGTGATGCAGTTCAAGAGTTGTCAGCAACTTAAAGCCCACAGAAGAAAGCGCAGCGGTGTCGAGACAGAATCCTTTCAACTTGAGAACCTTGAGCGATTCATAAACAGGACACCGAGTGATGGAGGCAACTACAGGACTAAGACGAACCTTGCCACCAGCACAGCTGATGGACAGATGGCGAAGCTGGCCACCGTGGGCCGCAGTTGCATATTGCATGACATGATCAAACATCTCCATGCATCTAGCTCGCTCGCATATTATTGAGCCAAAGTTGAAGGCGATGCTCCCAACAGCAATAGAATGGCACCGGAGAGATAGATACATCAGCACGTGATCTGTGAAACTCCATTCTGCCTTGAAGGACGCCCTGCTGAAATTGAGGGCTGGAACTCCTTTCCACAAGCATCTCCACCTCTTTGATACAATGCTGGTTTGAACTAAGATCTTGCTGTCGAGGGCGGCCAAGGAGAGAATGCGCTCCAGAATGTAATCTGGAAGATCGCTCAATCTGTCGATACGTTCTTCCAATTCCAACCCATGGCTCCATATTCCGGGACCCTTCGGCTCCAAGTTCATTGTCATTGTCATGTCCTAGAAACCCTTATCATCTTCCTCGCCAAACATCACACCACAAGAAGAAGAAAAATTGTCTTTCTGCAAGGAAAACATCAACAACCAATACACGAAAAGAGGATCACCACAACAAGAGATAACAACAGTAGAGACCCAAATACAGAATCTGACTCGAACAAAATCCTCCGCACTCTCTGATATCATTCTACTTCATCCAACCAAAACCAATTCGACGAGCGCCATATAAAAGTCTCTTCCAAGTATGCAATGCGGTTAATATTAGGCACGGAGAAGAAGGAACCAAGACGAGAAAACCCCTTACCTGTCGAAGCGCGAATCGATCTCAAGGCCAGCCAGCGATGGAAGAAACCCTCACGCTTTCTTCGGCTTTGCAAACCTGCGCGCCCTTTTTGCCCAGGGCTCTGCTTCGCCTCCGGTTTTCTGTTGAATCCAAAAAAAAAAACTAATTATATACCAAAGGAGAAAGGGCCGAGAGACCATACTTTAACGGGCCCAAATCTGGCTTTCCTTGATACACTTGGGCCTTGTCCCTCTTATTGGGCCCCAACGAAGTCGTCTTGCTCCTTGTTCTTTCTTCTTCTGCTGTTTGGCCGATGAGAAAAAGAGAATATCCTTCAAGAATGCAACTATATTGATTCCTGTAAGTATGTTTTCTAACTCTTAACATAAAAGAGAGGCATATATATATATATACAGTTCAATTCACAAAATTCAGAACAAAACATGTTAAAAAGCCTGATGGATACAGTATTGTGTACAAAAATGAGATTTTTAGTCTGGGAGAAGATACAAATAGATCAATGTGTGTAACAAGATGGAGCAAGTTGGCCACTGAATAGCAAGTTAGGCGCTTGAAACAAAGAGGAAGATGAAAACTGGGAATCGTCGACGGATGAAAAGCACAAAATTTTCCAGCAGAACTTCAATGGTGGGGAAATTAACCTGGAGGCTCTGGTTGATAGTTGATATACGACTATATGATGTCTTGTTTTCTACCCGGCACTGGTCAACTACTTCTGAGGCAGATCCTCGCTTGCTGCTGGTTCCTCATTTTTGGTCATGGCCTTCCTTGCTAGCTCATAGCCAGCAAAGTTCATGGCGCCTAGGGGAGCAATCCAGAAAAACCTCGGCACTGCTCCCTTGAATAGCCCGAGGGGGCCCTCGCGACGGAGTATAGAGTAAGCAACCATTGACATGGGTATGTGTCTTCCTCCAGGGGCAGTCATCATTCTTGTCTTTATCACATCGAAAGGGGTCGTTGACACAGCAGTCAGTCCGCCAGATAAAGCTCCAACGACGATTGTCTCCCAGGGTTCCAGTTCTCGCTTCAGCATTCGTTGAACAACCTTGAAAAGTTCGACATGACAATTGTTCGTTATGAAGAGAGCATGAGAACTGCAAGCTCAAGCCTAAGATAGAACATTTGAAGCTACTAAGGTTGGAAAGTGTATCTGTAAGGGTGATCCCCAAGCAAATGGTCTCTTTTTGTCTACCAATGGGGGCACGAGACCAGTCGTCCCTCCCATGTGAGCTATAACAACCAATTATGGTATTTAAGATATTTTCTGTAAGAAAAAAGTAACTAATGGAATGGTAGATAGTTTGTGTACTAATAAGGAATAAGTGACTGAGAAAAACTTTAAGAGTGCTAAAATAGCAAATGCAATATGATGAGTGAGGCAGACTTTAGATTCGAACAATTCATGGTATTCAGGCGAATAGTTGTTTAAAACATTAGCCTCAATTTGATTGGAAAAAGTTAGATTGGAAAAGGTGTTGTTTTAGGAGCAAAGTCCTTTTTGAGTTACCTATTTTTCAGCCAAAATAAACACATCAATAACGATTATATGTGACTTGAGAACTGCAACACTTCAGTAAGGCAGATAAACGATTCCAAGATGCTTATTTTGTAACAAAACAGTAGACTCACCTTTTTGGATTCTTCATAAACGCCCGTGCCAACCACATAGAATGGAATTTCACGGCAAAGGGTAGCACCGGTACCACGAAAAAAACCCTTTAGGCCATCTTGTTGCCAAGTACCCACAATTGCCTCCCCCACGCTGTCAAAAAGACCAGCCTGCAAACGCTGCTTCAACACCTCACAAGGAATTCTCACTGCCGTCCCCAAAAAGGTGCTACAAAATGATGATATCGATTGCACCTGCGGAACACATCCCATATAATATCAGCATCTCATCATCCTATGCTCTAACATGATTCTTCCAAACAAGTTTCAATCATGGAAAATGTTAATGGCCTGCTGCAGAGGCAAAGGTATAAATCGAGAATTTAATCTAAGGAAACATGCAGCTTGCACTAGAACAAGAGCTTTTCAAGTTATATGTAAATGCAGAGATAGACAATCTGGAGAATGGTCCTCTCTCCACTCACAAATTCGTTACTCTTTAGTAATCAGTCAAGGGGGAGCAGTCACGTACAGTCAGAATATTCTATACCTAGAGTGCGTGAACCAGGCACCCATTGTTTTAAGCTACTTCTGTGAACAACAGATAAGATGGCTCGAGAAAGGGAGCAACCACCAATAACGTACAGTTACAAACACTTAAATGATCAATAATAACATGCCAATCAGAAAATAATCCACATTGTCTGAGCATCTTATTTAATGGTTTTATTGTTATGACCCTATCTCATTGCAAATATGCACTTTTATTCGCTGATGAAATTGCATTCCAGATATTTCTACCTTTTATCAAAACCCAGCAGTGGCATTCGAGAAGCAAAAAATGGGCAGTTCAGTACAGGACCCTATAATCTCAAAATTAAAATGATCATTACCTGGATGTCTGGGAGCGTGGGGGCAACATGTACCAGCACAACTTTGCTAACTTCATATATCCCCGTCCGCAGACCATGGCTGCCAAGGATATTATGCAGCATCAGCAAAATTCATACAACCAGTCACCATTTAGAAAAAGGATACAAATGAAATAGGAGACATCGGTAAACGGACCTGGAGAACTGTCCCAGAATTGCAGGAATGGAACCCCGGTACAATCCTTGAACTCCAACTTGTGGAATCTTCGAAATGATTTCTGGGAATGACAAAGTTGAAGCTTGCACACGAGTCTAATATGCCATAGAAAAGAGCAGACTTGAATGAGAAATACAAAATCAAGGGATGAGAACAAACATGATTGCACCGCATATCCTTTTGACTAATTGAGAAACACATTCATCAATCATTGCAAAAAAAGTGCAATATTGAAGTGGGCAACTCCAAAATTTTCCTTTTCCCTCCACAATATCTCCAAATTGCACAAACACTATCTTATCAAGGAACCCTATATCCACAACTTGATGAAACTGATGTGAGAGACGGGGAATTTCTTTAGCTATCTCATGAGCTACTAATGAGGCCAGAAGCATCTTGCTACCACATAGTTTCAGCAACTATACATTTTCATAGTGACAATTACATTAATCATCTCCAAGGGTGTTCACCTTAACAGTATCGACAGGATGCATCATAGCTGTGGAAAGCGCACACGAGAGACCCCCAGCTAAGGCAGACCGTAGGACGTTACCGGCCGGTATTTCCACAGGAGGAGCAACAGCAACAACAGTTGCAGCTTCAAACCATATGCTCCTGCATTAGTATAAGAAAACGCCTCAGGTATGCAACCCAGGAGCCTTCAGTACACCCATTTTACTAAAGGAAAACTGATGAATCTCGGTGGTTTTCCACTTCACCTACTGGGTTAAGGAGCATCTAGTTTTGGTTAAAAAAACATATAGAGAAAAAGACTGGAAGCTATTCACTAGTATATAAGACATCGCATATGCTTAGACAAGATTGGCTCATGAATGTTAGTTTGAAGGAAATTGTGTGTATTCAAGGAGACTGCATTTCTAATACACAATAATTATAGAAATGAAGGAGAAAATAGCCCACCTGGGATCATCTTGAAGACGATCAGAAGGCAGCAAAAGCATGAAATTTCTAAAATGCCCATAAGAGATAGATTCTTCTGCATCTGCCATCAGAAATCGCATCATAGCCATGGCATTCTCCTCATTAGCTGGAAGTCCAGCATTTTCTAGTGATGCCAGTATTTCACTCCTTTTTAGGGTACCAGACTTGCTCAAACATAAAGAAGTATAGGCACGGAGAATAGTGGGTTCCCTCTGTTCCATCAGTGACAGAAACTGCTTCCAACCAAAAGATTTTGAAAATAAATGATTTCTAGCACGACGCATGAAGTCTCTAGCATAATTCCTTGGCAATTTCCTCTTTCTCATAGCCATTTCAAGATCTTCCAGAGTCACTTGACCATCACCATCTCTATCCAATTCCTCAAAGAATCTCCTTCCTGTAATCATCATGCACTAAAATAAGAGAAGGCTCTTAATGACAGAACGAGAATATTTGAACCACAGGAAAAAAAAAAAAACAAGTTCATAGCAGAAGCCAGACTACTAGGACAGGAAAGCGTCGGACAGGAGCAATGCAATTCTTTACCCAATTCACTCAAATGCTGCCAAAAGTAAATAAAAGAACTCTGAGTTGGATAGTTAACTGTACCTTCAGACTCTGTGTATCTGAAAAAATCCTGTACAGAGAACAACTTTTTCTTGTCAGGGTGATCTTTGGAAGCCCTTGCCAGTTGTGGGACAAGCTCCATTAACTCCGTCAACGAGACAGTAGATAAGGTTGATCTCAACCGTTCCACATTGGACAGCGGAATACTGAGCAAGCCACCTGCCAGCTTCTGAGGTAAACCACCCCCTGTCTCTTCAGTGCTGCCAGCATTGGCACCATCATCGCCTTCTTCATTAACTGAAGACACCCCAACAATAGTAGGTGGAACACTACCAACCCTTGCAAAGCTTAAGTTGCCCAGAAATCCATTCACCTCTATCTTGCGAGCTTCCAAAATGCTCATGAAAGCTTTCAGGTGGTCAAAGTGAGAGGTTACCCGAGGTTGGTTTGAAAACTCGCTATCACAATACTTGTTTTCATTCTCCTGCAAACACTGGTCCAATTTCTGTATATTATGAGCTAAATGATCAAACAGAAAACCTATAAGACATTCAATAGATACATGCTTCCCCTCTTTCCCTTTCCCATTCCAGTTCTGATTGTGAAGAACTTGAACATACTGACCCTTCAACTCCCTTTGCTTCCCTTCATTGCTGCAGAATTGCAGATTACCCTTGTCATCATCAGCCACTTTAACCACCCTCTTTTTGCTGTTTTTAAAAGGGCCAGGGAACGCTTGAACAAATCCATTGACCAACACAGACCAAGTCACAGCAAACTTCAAACAGTTTGTACAAGAGTCATCTAAGCTCCCCGCTGCCTTCCCTTTGCTCCCCTTCTTTGCTACCTCAGCGTTGTCGCCGCCATTGCGCTTACGCTCTTTCTCCAAATTAGGGGAAAACATCCCCAGCAAAGCTCTGACAGGAACTCTGATTGATAAACCCTTCTTCCTCTCTTCAGCCTTACCACCACTACAGGAACTCTTCTTTTCCACGGCACGGATCTGAACCTTGCCGTTAAGACTATTCCCATCTTCCCCGCAAGTCAATTCGTGCACAAAACCCTTGTCACTATTCCAACCGCCGCTCCTCTCCAAACAGGTTTCGAGATCTCTAGCAGCTTTTCGGATTCCCAGCTCCAAGGGCGTAAAAGCGTCCCTCACCAATTGGATTGAATTGAAGAAAGGCTCCATCGGGTCCTTTCTGGACCCCATTACTAGACCGGAAAAAACAACTCCCCGCCACTGAACAAGAATTCTTCCCTACTCTCCCAATCTGCTTACTAAAACTTCATGCCGCCAAACTCAAAAAATTCCAACGCAAACCAACGGAAATGAAAACAGATGAATCAACAGAGTTGCAGGAAATCAATCCGCTGAGTAGTTCGACCAAGAGTACAGGCGTCCCTCTGGTGGAAAGAAGTAGGAAACAGAGCGTCAAGATTCTCTTTCTTCTTGTGATTAGTTTTCAGAGTGATGAAGAACAGCAACCGCAAGAGTTGGTCGTGAGATGCATCGGCGCGATTCCGAGCAGGAAAAAAACCTATTCGGAGGGACGGTGGTTCGCCGGCGGGTCGAACTCGAATGGGAGAAGAAGGCTTGGGAATCAGAGAGATGAGACTGACTGAGAGGTCGGAGGTCGGAGTTTCTTCTTTCCCTTTCTCATTTTCTCTATTTTTTCCCCCGTTGTTTTTTCGGGTTTCTATTTTCTGAACTGTTGGCTGAGCTGATTTGGATTTATGATTTCCATTTATATATATTTCCCTTTTTATTCTGTTGTTTGTTTTTTCTTTCTTCATTTTTTTTTTGTTTTGTGTTCTTTTATTTAATTATTTTGGCTTTTGGGGAGTCCGAGTGGATAATTTATGTGTCTTGGGGTCGGTCTGTTTGTCAGTTTATTATTTTTTTCGGTAATTAATTTATTATATTTTAGATAATTCCTTTCTCCATTTCTTGTAGTTATTTATTGGTTCTCTTCATTTCCCCCATTTCTTACCTCTTTTATAAGACAACAATGAATAATCTAATAATTTAAAGAGTAAAAGCCAATGAGATTTGATCGAATAATTTGAGTCATCAAATTCTAAATATAGTGATTTTTTGTTGTTGTGAAACTCATAAAGGAACAATAATGTGAGGTAAGCTAGGAATAGAGAGATGTTAAATTGTTAATGATCTAAATTCGTTTGAAATAAGGGAAGGTTTGAATCGTAGAAAACCAATCGGTTTCAAGGTTCAAAATTTAAACGTATTTAAGATAAAAGGTAAAAGAAAATTATGATAGGCATGAATTAAATATAAATATGAGCACTTCAATGAAGTCTTGTAAAAAAACGACTACCTTTTAACAAAATGATATATATAAATGGTATATACACGACATAATTCATGAAGTTTCAGACACTAACATGGTATAGGATAGATTGTTTGGGTTTGCGTAGCTATCTTTTTGCGTTATGGTTAGCAAGGTTAGCAACCTTGCTAACCATAGGGGGTTAGAATCATATTAACAATGAGTGGATCGTTGTTATTTGCAGTTTTAGGACCACAACTCCGACGCAATCATAGTAGTAGTCTTTATTTTTACAGTTGTAGTCGTTGTTTTTTCCCCCTGCCGTTATAACTTATAACCCCACAACTTCAACACAAACTACTACAACGCATGATTAGAAAAAAGGTCCTAACCTTATCGAGTTAGTACCACAATCAACCGGCTTTCTAATGGCTTCTTAATCTCTCTGCAGCTCCCTACCTAACAAAGCTTTTTGCTTTTATTTATTAATTACATAGGATTCCACCAATTACGAACAAAAGCACCCCACCCCCGGCCCACCAATAATGAACTGGGTTTTTAGTCGTATAATAATGAGACTGCTAATGTGATTCATGTGATATAGCTCAATGATCATGTTCCATGCTTCAGAAAACCACAGTTCTCACTGTTAAATATCTCAATCACACTGCTCTTCATTATTGCTATCATAAGAAGATATTCTCTGCTCCAACCAGGACAACCAAACATGCCTGAACCAGCCTCCAGGATATCAACCAAAGCTAAAAGCAAAGCCGTGGCCTGTGCATGGAAGCATTTGGAACCCTTCTTTTAGATTGTTGTCATTTCACTGAGTTCAGCAGAAATTCTGTGATGCTATAGGGTAAAGGGAAAAGACCTGCTCTCAACCAGATGCTTCCCTCTTTCAGCAAAATTTCAACTTTGGAGATGGACACTAGAAAGCAGAATTACTCCCCTTTGTCTTCCCAAGCATCACATCTTGGGCTTCATTGATCTTGGATGCGAGATAAATCGCTACCATCTGCATCAGGATGGTTTGCTACCATTACTTTTCTATGTGCTTCTTTCACCTTGTCTGGGGTCGCACTTTCCCTATCGAAACAAAATAACATGGCATCAGGAGAAAACTGGCTTTCACCTTTATTAGAAAGAAACACTACGTATTCATAATCATCATCCTGCAAGTTTCTCATAGTGCTTCAATCTGACTGCCAGTTTTGAACCTTGAAAATGCATATAAATTACAGATTTGAATGACAGCACATGATAAACAAATTAGCATAAGTGGTTACGAAGCGTACATTTCGGAGTATGCATATGATTCCATTGATTGAGTTCACACTACATCCTTCCACTCCGTTCCAGGTAACTACAATCACTACTACACCTATCCAATGGGAAAGCAGAAGAGCATTGGAAAACAATTCAGGAACTGTTGAAGCATAAAGGAAGAACATGTCTCGCGGACTAACCATCTATATGGATCTATGATCATGAACAAACATGATTAACTGACCCGGATATGTCAATCTAAGTTCTCATGTTCATAAGCACCAGGAAGATGTTCTACTATTTGCAGCATAAATATCTGACATGCCACAGCTTACCAAACTTTGAAAAACATCAATACTTTCTTGGATATAGATCATGTCATTTCGAAGAACATTTGAACCAAAGTAAAGTTCATAACTCCTCAAACGCAAAGAAGTAGTACTGAACAGTTACCTCAGACCAAGAATAAGAGCTGCTTCTCTTCTAGTCATCTTAGGCTGAAACCCACCATCGTAGAATCTGCGCGTTTTCATTCTTGGCGGCCGGGCCTTGAATGCTTGCCATGCCTGGATCCCGCATCTTCCAGCAAGAGCAGCAGCTGCAACCGCAACTCCAGCCAAGAAAGGTGTAGCCTGATGTACATCTTTAAGATTAAAGTTGTCATCTGCTAGAACGAAGTGATAATAGATAGCAAGACTGCAAGGGTTTGCATAAAAAAGATAAAGAGACAGTCGGACAACAGGAAAGAACTCAAATTGCACTATTCAAAATCATAGCGATGGGAACAATAACGATAGCGGCGGCTCAAACACCAAAATCGGAACAACCCAGAACCGATTTTAACGATCCCAGATGCGGAAATTGGAAAGCTGACAGCTTAACACAGAAAATGAAGGGGGTAAAAAATTGAACTCCACCAAATCGGAGGCTACAAACGAAGAAGCTAGAGGCTTGTCTTACCATTTTCGTGAAGTTGGGAAGTCGAAATATGGAATTTCGATGACTAGAGCATTCATTCAGTAGTAACTCGTTCGAGAAGATAGTGGTTCTGTCTGTGTAGTATCAATGGCGATTGAAAACGTTTGAGCGTCGCGAAACAGCAGGGCTGGAAAACAGAGTTGAATAAAAATGGAAAATAAAAGATTTGACTGACAAAAAGAAAATGTGGCTGCTGGGATTCGAGCCCAGGTCTCTACGGCCACAACGTAGAATTCTTACCACTAAACTACAGCCACTTGATGTTACCATTCTTGACTAAGTTATTATACCAAGTTTATGTCTGGATTAGTTGCTCTTTTATTTTTTTAATAAGTATGCAGTATTTGTAACATTCCGAACTTTTTTCAACGAATATGTTTTGGAAAAAAAAAAATCTAATTCACATTTTAAAAACAAAATTTTGATGAAAACTAGAGATAAAGTGGAAAGACATTTTACATGTTGGGGTAATTAGGTGTTTTGGAATAATAAAAGTTAGATACTGGTATGGGAGGATAAAACAAGTGATAATTTGTGTCTATTGTGTGTATTAGAAGTTGAGGCAAGGCCTCATTAATTTTTTGAATGTGTGTCCTTGTCGAGGATATAGTGAGCGTCTTAATTGGGTTGTTCGAAATTTCAAAACGAAGAAGGCATCATCACAAAGCTTGGAAGATGGATTTGGAATGCGACAAGGAGTATATTGTGGAGAGAATGATGCAACAGGTTGCATTGTGGAGTTAGTGTGGACGTTGCTGGAGTTTTGGCGCGAATCCAGAGCTTATTTGAACTAAGCTCGAACTGGGATTACAGTATGCAAGTTGATTTTCAAAGTATTTGGAGTTATTTGCTGTTTAGTATAGATTGATGTATTAGTGGAAAATGTATGGTTAGAGTTCTATTTGATAGTTAGAAGTACCTCAAAATTGTGCAGGCGTTTAACATGTCAAACTTTTGTGAGGGAGTTTGGTTCATCCCTCACTTTTAGCTTAATAGAATTTTTGATTGCTCATAAAAACAAAACAAAATACAGAAAGAAGATGTCAGAAAATATTTTGCCATTGTAATGAACAAATGCTTAGATCCCAAACCCTCCTAAAGCTAATCCTTCAACTTCAACACCACCATTCCCTAGCTTTATATTAAACCCAACTGCAATCTTGTTGAACAAAGAAATGGGAAATGAAAGTTGATCAATGGTAATGGAAAAGGAGAAGCAGAACAGCCAACTTTCCTCCCAACAAGGAGACAACCTTTTATTCCTCCCTTCCATACCTCCCCATCTCTCAACCCCTCATCCCTATTCTCAGCTCCTTCCCTCTATGCTGAACTGAATGAAATGAGAACATCATAAACCAAAAAGACTGAAATACTATTCTTAACCAACATTCTCAGGTCTTTCTCCTTTTCTTATTTCTCTGGCCTTTCTCAATCCTCCTCACTCATACCTAAATGAGAACCCTGAACTGCTACATTGACATTCCGCCGTTGTTGATATGATCCTCCTCCAAGTGATCAGCCTCAAACTTCCTCGACGGGGATTCCTCGAGCTTAGGAGGACCCGAATGTCTCCTGAGTCCAGCAGAGGAAGGAGAGTAAGTGAGCCTCTTCTTTGCTGATGCAACAGATGCCTTCTCCGGTGCCCGATTGTTCTTAGCTGCTGTTGCCCCCATTGGGCTTGAAAACCGTGACTTGGCTTTTGCAGACTGTGTTGCCCCCATGTAGCTCGGAGCAACTGAAGGCGAGCTTGCAAGGCTCTCGTCGTCTCTAAAGGACCGCCCTGGTATGCTGTGCCTCCTCGTGTATCGAATCTCAGACCGAACACTGTACATGCTCATTGTGTCATCATCCCCACCCCAAGTGCTGCTGCTGCTGCCCTTGGGGTTCGGTCCTTTCATTTTCCCAGTCACTGATGATATGGATGTAGCCTTCGAACTAGCAGGTGAATAACGACTTGGAGGCTTACTGCCCGATCTTTGGCCACTTAGGGAAGGCTTGTTGAGATTGCGACGAGAAGAACCTCTGCTGATGTCGCCCAGAGACATGGTGCGGCTTACTGCACTCTTGAGAGATGCAGGTCGGTCATTGTTGTCCACTGCACTATTGTTTTCCCATGGCCGAGCTGCCATCCATCTCTCTAACCAACTCCAACCCCAGTGCGGATTGTTTGGGTCCAGGAATGTTGCAGTTCCGCTCTTGGATGCGTTCTTCCATGTTTGCTGGTTGCAGAAGAATCATCAGTCAGTAACACATTAAATATGAGTCAATTTAAAGCTTCTGCAAACATTACATATGTTTACCAGATGACTCAATTTAAAGCTTCTGCAAACATTACATATGTTTACCAGATGCTTGCAATTCGGCACTGGCACCAGAGGGCCAGCCAGATCATGATTAAAAAATTGAATCATCATCTTTTCTTTGGGTTATATGAGAGCATTTAAACATCAAGTTCCATGGAAATTCGTTACCTGATGAGTGTAGGCATAAGCCAGGGCTCTTTCTCTTCTAACTGCAGCTTCTTGCTTGTGGAGTAAGTTCGCTTCAATTTGTTCTTTCGATTGCAAACTAGCATCCCACTCCACTCCAATCTGTCACAAGAAATACACAATAAAACGCAGACTTAAAAAGGATAACACACTCTAACCACAGCACTGTAGATGAATGAAAAATACTTGAAAGGAGAAAAAGAACAGCAAGGAGAACACACTCTAACACAGCACACTATGGGGTCTGAATCACAAAAAGCAACAGAGTGTACTTACAGAAGATCTCAATCTCTCAAGCTCCTTCTCGTGTTTGTGATGGATCTGTCGCTGGAGAGACTGGTTCTCCTCTGCCATCCTGATCCTCCTTACACGTATCTGAGACTGCACTCGCGCAAGAGTCTGCATGGCTCTTAAAGTTGAAGCTGCTTGTCTTTTCACAGATTGACCTTGTATCATTGTCCTCAGTCTCACCAAGCCTCTCAAAGCCCGCAGCGCCCTCCTAGCCTGAAAATCCCCAGGTTTTTTAAGCAAGTACTACAAAGAAAAACTAACGAGTTAAAGTGAAAGTAAACTATCCAGTTAGAGGATGACTTGCATACCAAGTAACCTCTAAATGCTGTCTGTATCTTGATAGCTGCTATCTCCTCCTTTGGTTTACCGGAACTACGAGCACTTGTGAGTCGAACCACCTCAGCTGCAGCCTGGGCAGCCGCAACAGCTGCCTCAGCGGCAGCTGCAGTGGCAAGTGCCACGGAGTAGGCATGCTTGCTATGTTCATTCTCAGCTTCAGTTAATTTCACATCAGCTGGGGCTGGACGCAGTGGTGGTGGTGGTGGTGGTGGAGGCGGTGGTGGAGGAGGTGGAGGTGGAGGGGCGGAACGAGACGGAGGAGTGGTGGGAACATCAAATCTAGGTAGATCGTCGTAGGTTGTAACAATCGAGTCCAAACTCTTTGCTGTACCAAGTCCCTTCTTTGATTTTAATCTCTACATTGAATCAAAATAGCAAATGTAAACCTTTACTCTTTAGCCACCTCCATACATAAAAACTGATGAATGTAAATAGCTTGTAGGAAGGGACAATGGCAGAAGCAGTGAACAAACCCTGGAAGAACTGAGAGCAAAAGAACATAACCAACTTGATTTCTTCCCCATTTTTTCTTTAGTTCTTCATCATTCCCCAGGCTACACATGAAATTGGTGAAAACCCAGGTGAGATTTGCAGGAAATGAACAAGGTTTTCAAATGAAACATGACACGGTTCATACCACTAGAACAATGTTGAAACTAACAATCCAATTGCAAAGGCGAAAACGTTAGGAAGCCAGAAATCCCGTTCTATAGAAAACCTAAAATGGAAGAATCTCGCGGGAAAATTTTCTCTGCGCGCCAAGTCTGATCTACGATGAGCAAACAGGCATTCCCCTATAATAACACAGAACCCAGAATGCGCAATGAGAAGCTCAACGTCAATGCAAAGGAGAAATCACCAATTTCATACGGAAACAACAAAAAGATGGAAACTTTCGACCGAACACTCAATCACGAAACATAAAATGGCAGAGGACCGAGTGTGCACAAAAATTCATGAGATCTTTCGAAAGAAAAAAATAGAAACCCAGTCCAAAATTGGCAATTTCCAGCAAGACCCAGGATGCAGAATAACATCGAAAGCGAACAATAACGAAATAGAGGTCATGGAATCGACAAGAGAAAATGGGACAGCATAAGGGTAAAAGCAAATAACAGAGAACAAACAAAAACACAACATAATTCCAAGAAGGGAAAAAAAAAAACATCAACGTACCTGCAATGCAAGGGCGGTGGATGAAAGGAAGGAACCAATCACAGAAAGAGAAATGCGTTAAACAGAAACGCCAAAGATGAAGCAGGATGAAAGAAAGGTCAGATCTTGGAGGGAGGAGAAGAAAAGGGTGTGTAAATTTGAAGGGAGAAGGAATTGGAGATGGGTAAGAAAGAAGAATGGCTGAAAGGGAGAAGGCGAATAAAACCCAGCTCTAATTCGAGGGTGGTGGGTTTTATGGAGAAGAGCAGGGACGCAGGGTGCAATGGAGCGACAGAAAGTATAACTAAACGCAAAACAGGAATAACAGACAAAAGTTTTTGCTGTCTTATCGGGGACTTTCTGTTTCCTCTGTTTTGTTTCTTTTTTAAGGTTTTCTCCCACGCTAATAATCAAATGAAGCTTACTGGACTTGTGTTTATTAGCACAGAATCAGTGATCAATTCCTTTATCCTGGGTAGCTAAGTAAAGCAATAAATAACAGACTCTATATATCTCCTCTCATGTTGGAACTTAAAATGCCAAGGTCGAAACAATTCGTTTGCATCGCACGCACATTAATAGACAGATATTCAGTTCGACCAATAGATCTCATCTCATGTCAATGACAACGATGAGAACATGTAGGTTGTTTGTTCGCAGCCTCGGTATGGATCCACGAAGAAGAAAAAAAGGACATAGAAGAGGTATTCATAATTTGATTTTCGAGAACAAGCTAAGGTTCATTTAGAAAAAAAGAAGGGACATTTCACAAATTCTGTGGAAAAACTGAATTGGATTGTTGCAAAATGTATGTTGCACCAAATGCCTGCTTCATTATTTATTTATTTTCTCGTAGTTGAGCGGAGCATTTTCAGATATTGTGTTTTATCAGGATTTAATCATTTCATATTGTTCAAAGCCCTGATAAAAGACTTTTTAGTTATTTCAATATCGAACCACCCGTACAATAAGGTTTCATCTGATTTTCACACAATAATATAAATTTAGGAGAGTTTCGAAACGAAATTTTCCGTCCAAAAAACCCATCCAAACCACCCATTGAAAGAGAAGCAAGGCTTTCGTGGCTCCCCTATTTATGAATTTCACGTGTGTCCTCCTCCCCCTGATCCTGTCTGTCCTGCTGTTTTCAATTTATTAAAAACCTCTGTGGGCTCGTGCCTCTGCGCCAATTCCCCTGCATGCAGCTCCGATGGTTATTCGGTTTGGTAATGAAACGAGATACTATTTGTGTGCGCGTAAGGCGTGTATACAATAATGGCCAATTCATCCATCCAAGTTGACCAACCAATGCATCTGTGCTGTTCATCAACAAAGAAATTTGATATGATTTTGATTTGATTTGGTTGATTAATAATAGGATCAACGACTTGCAACTATAATGCTTCATGTTAACGGCAACTGGAGTATGTAACCACAAGTCCATAACTACAATCCTCCAACCATTGTGGCTTGTGTTGGACTCAAATTCTTTGGCAAGCGAAATCACTACTTAAACACAATTCATACTGGCAGTCATAAATATCGCTCTTCCTAAAACACCCTAATTTTTCACTCCCTTCCAGAAAGAAGAGGCTTTTAAAGACTTAAAAGTCCAATCCAGTCTGTTAAGAGTTTAGAACAACTCATGTAGTTGATGATGTCATCCATATTCCACAAAACTCTGGTTACAGAGAGACATTGGAATGCATGAAAAACCCGAAAGAAAGACAACACTCAGAACACCCCGCAGTTAGCGAGCACAAGTGACGGCAATGTGAGGAAAAAAGACCGTTGTTTCGACTAATCCAATTTCGCCTTTTCACTATTCTACAGACGGGAATATTGTAGTGAATAGCCGAGGGCATACCTCGAACACTGATATAGCAGATTCAGTTGATGGGTAACTTGCGTTGCAACAGCCTGGGATCATCGTCCGTACGAGTGATGCCTGTGTCTATCCTTATCCCGTGATGAATACGACGAGGAGCTGTGATAGTCACGATCTGCCAAAACACAAACATGTATAATGGTTCATTTCTCCAGTCGAGCCTATAAGATGGCGAAAGAAAAGAGTATCAAGGAAACACCCCCCAAAAGTTACATACCCCGTGATGAAGGATGCCTTGATTTATCTGAATATCCTCCTGCACAGTGCACACCCATCAGTCAGAACACAATTAACATTTGATTAGAGTCCAAATGAGAAGAGGGAAAAGAAAAAGGACATGAATAGAGATGGATAAGCTTTTTCACGAACTGACCTGAATCCTTCCCCCTATCTTTAGAACGATGGCTTCCTCGGTCCTTGCTCTTATCTCTGCCCCTTTCACTTTCCTCTCGATCTCTTTCCCTATCGGAATCCCTTCCCCTGTTGTCACGATCACCAGCCTTCATTCTCGTTTCCCTCTCTCTTTCCCTGTCCCTGTCTCTCTCCTTGCTTCTATCACTGCTTCCATCCGTTGTTCTATGCTCAGACTTGGATCTCCCAATCGCTACCTCCCTTGTTGCATCGTCCTCATTCTTGGATTCATCGTCGCCCTTCTTAGAGTCCTTCACCTTGTCCAATGCTGCTTTTATCACCAATGTTCCCTTGGACCCCCCAGTTTCAACACTGATCAAGCTCGGGGTCACCTTGGAAGAAGCATCGTTGTTTGCTGGTGAGCTAGCTTGTGGAGCATCCTGCACAAAATAACAGCAGGAACATAGCCTCATGAGATCATATAGCCCTGATCACTGGCATTATATGATGGTTCCAAGAAGAGTGCATAGATAATTACAATTTACAACTACAGAAAGGTATAAACAAACGGAAGAGAATGGAACAAAAAAAGTTAATGAACAGAGGGAGTGTTTTATTTTACCTTTGCAGCTGTTTGTGACTGCAAATCCATAGCCCTTTTAGAAAAAGAAAAGTCGCCTTCCTTACAGACTGATATGTATTGAGCCTTTGGAAGACTGTACAGGTGAGCTAACACTCTGCAAACTTCATCGATGCCAGATTTATCAGCATCAAAAGCCTTCCACCAAGGTGGATTCTCTGGAAGTGGGACTTGGAACCTCCGAGCAGCAGCATACACTACACCACAAGCTACAACTTCACTCCTAAAACGAACGCACAGGGTTGTCCGCAAACTGTCCGAAAAGCAGCAGGTGTCGTAAGATAATGAAAAATGAGTATCTGCTTATCAACAAGAACACCAAGAATCATTGAGGAATATACGTACACACACGCACACTAAGAAACCCTAGTGATGAGCAAACTAATCAGAATTTCTCTATCATTAAACATGCATGTCATATTGTCATTTGATAGAAGTCATATAGAGAAGAAAACATTCATCTCTGCTCAGGAGTGTTGCCTAAGGCATTCCCAGCCTGAAAATCACATGATCACTTTTTTCCCAGACTCCATTTATAATCACCAATTACTTTCAAACCAGAAGAAGCAAACCGAAATGGGATCAGACTGCATGCAGTACCTATCATTTGCAAGATTCCATGCCTCTTGTCTCAGTTCTGGGGGTGTGTCAAGGGTGACAAGATAGTTGGATATGAACTTGTGTGGATGCTCAACATGACAAACAAAACCCATCTCCTTCAATATGTGTCTTTCAGTTCTACTTAACTCCACCTTTAGTTCAGCATATTTCTGTTGAAACAGGAACAAAGCTTTACGTGCATGTTAGGATGGAATGGTTTCTCTTAAGCAAATGGCATAATGCAACCTGCGGTATATGATTCTAACCTTAGAATTAATGTCCAGAAACTCAATGGGCAAATTCTCTCTGCGGCATTCCATCCTGTGAAAAACCATGATAACCTGCCTTGCTCTTCTAGGACTTTCCTCTAGCTTGGAGGCAAGCCAAACTGAACCAGCGGCAACTTTCTGGAAGAAACAAAATTTATATAATATCATAAGAAGAATGTAAAGCATGTTTCTGATAACCACTTAAACTCAAACCTCCCATCCTTATTATTCTCCGATATGCACATTCAAGTAGTCTCTACATGGCCAGATAAAAACAAGTCCTAATTGAAATAAAATGTGGCTCCTATAAACCAAATACACAAAAGACTGTCTAGATCAGGGGTAAAGATTGGAACAAACCTTGACATTGAACTTAGCAAATGATTTCTTGCAGTAGAAGCGATGGAATAGAACCTGTCCAGTCGCCATCACAGCTTGAGGTCTGAAATAAAAACATTTAAGGAAAAAAGAGAGCTCATATGCTGCACAATCAATTTCGTTCCGCACCTTGGAACAGGGAACAGGCTAGTCATAATGTCGCTATAAGAGGAAGAAAGAAACAAAGGATACAGCCTGAGCAAAATGCCACTTTCTTGTACGAGATCACAGCCATATCTTCTAATGGAAGTTTCAGTATCTTCATCGATTCCGTCCTTCCTCGATGGAGAGTTCTGTAGCTGCTCTTCCGTAAGGTAGAAGTTGTCTATAGCGGTGTAAATCATTATTGCTGAAACAGAACCAACAGGAATCCAATGAGCCTCGGCAGAGCAATACGTATCTGATAGAACCATACACCTGAAAAGCTAACTTCAACTGGGATATGCCACAACTCGGCTATTGACAAATAAGTTAAATGTACAACTTTGAGCCTAAGCAATCACTGTCCTCTCTCGTTCAGTCCTTCTGAAGAATCAACCAAGTCAACTCCCGCTAGCAATCACAGGTATGCGAAAGAAGTTGAACAATCCAAGAACGGCAGAACCAGTATACAAGAAGAAAAACTTGACTCAGTAGGCAGTGACCCTGAACGCAATGCTGCGAATTTGAAAGAGGGAAGGATACAACTTCTGAAATGAAACAATCGAAACAAGGGACTGACCACCAAAATCAAATTGAAGAACTTTCAAATACGTGGAGCCTCTTTCAGACACACTATTCTCATTTGAAACTTCCACCGTAGAAGAATTGCAGCCATGGTCTCCTAATTGACGAGCGTTTCAAAGTTGGAAAACCTAGCTACGGACGAGCTCATTATTTATCAACTTCCAATCAGCTTTTCCTAGTGTCGAGGAAGAGGAGAATGGAACAGGAACTTACCAGCTTAGTCGGCCCGCCGTCGCCCACCGTAGCGGTGGAGGTGAATTGAAGCCTGGCGGTAGGTTCTCAAGTCGGAGGAGCGGAAAGAAGCGCTGAATTTTGATTTTGTCGGCGAGGAGAAGGGTTTCCTTCTTTTTTCCCGTCTCCGGCGAATGTCAGTCTGGTCGGTGGGTTTTCCTGTGTTCGACAAATATGGGCTAAATTTGCAGGGAGTTGTTTAAAATTGGGCCAGAAGTACTGGCCCAATTCAAAATTTATATCCAGTCCAGCTAGGAAGTTCACGGGCAGAACAAGGCCCGCGAATTGGTACGTTAGTAAAAAGCAGATAGAGAGAGGCAAAAAAAAAATTGGGGGCATTCCGAGAATTGAACTCGGGACCTCTCGCACCCTAAGCGAGAATCATACCACTAGACCAAATGCCCATTTCTGTCAATAATTTCCATGTTTTGTAATTTAACAAAATTTTGGATGTGCAAATATCTAATTTAGTCCTCCAAAAGCCCTAGTTTGATGGCAAGGCTTTACGTTCGGCCAGTCAGCCCTCGAAATAATTCCGCAAAAATTCAATTGGTTTTGCGCCTACATTTCTGCCTCTCTTCCTCGGAAGCCCTGCAGCAGCAAGAAATTGAGAATCGAAACAAACGATATAGTTATCTAGGTTCGAGCATGTCTATCCCTTCCAGTTCAGCTTCAATTTGTGCTTAACGGGAATCAGGTATTGAAGTATTTGGTTTGGTCTTTCAGGGGGGAACTACCTAGTCGCTGCAAAATGGGGAAGCTGGGAAAGAAGGCGAGGAAGTTCGCCAAGAAGAATCTTCAGTCGGTGATGAAGAGGCAGAGGAAGCAGAAGTCTGTGTTCAAGAAAAGAGCTACGAAAAGTAAGTAACAGTCTGTCTTTGCATGGGAAGTATGAAATTTTGTCTTTACTGCTTTAGCAAAGTTCTGTATGTTTGTTTTCTTGAGTGCTTGTACTTTTCCTTGTTGCACTTACATTTGAGCCTGAACTTTGGAAGCAATATGGTTTTGTAGAAGGAGGCCGTGGGGATGAAGTTGTAGAAGAAGACAGTATACAACAGACTAATGACAGGTAAAAGGATAAAAAGTCATATGAGAATTGATGCTGTTGACGGTTGTCATTTGAAAATGTTATCAAGTTCTTGATGTATCGTATTGTGTTCACTACTTTCCTGTGCTGGTGCATAGTAGTGTTAACTGAAGTCCTTTGGAAGGCTGGATACATTAGTTTTTATATAACTGATATTTGCTTATTTATTTTCGCTCACTCTTCTGAAACTCGCCGTTGCTATCAGAAGCATTCAAATTGAGGATGTTGGAGCTCTTTCTTTTGATGCAATGTTCAATGAGCATGATAGTGATGTGACTGGAGACGATTCTGGGAGCGATGGGTATTTATCCGAGGTTTGAAAATGTGCCTCGCCACAATAGTTTTGTCAAATGGATTTGTTTGTTTGTTTGTGCACTTTACTTATGCTTATAAGCCTTTTCCGTTACTTGTTGAATGGATCAGGAGGCAGGCTGTACGGATATGGATGAAACAAAAACGGAGAGTAACCTTGAAGGTGAAGACATTGTTGCATGTGGATTTGATGACATTTTAAGAACTTGATCTACTTAATGCTGTTAAGCCTTTCCACTACTTGTTCTTAATTTCTTAGTAATTGTTCTCCAGACAGTGGTGGGGATACTGGTGCATCTGTGAAGAATAGAATTGTCTTTAAGGAGCTAGCAAAGCAGAAGAAAAAATTGGACAGATTGAAAGGAAAGGTAGTATTGTCTTCATTATATGATGTATTTTTGCATCGGTTTCTTGATTTATCATCTGATTTCTAGACTGCTAGATTCTGCAATTCCTTTTAGTGTTTTGTTATCTAAAAATGACAAATTATATTTTTTTCTTACTTTCTTGATTCGGATGTTCTTAGGATCCAGGATTTGTCAAATATCTTGAGAGCATGAAAAGTGGTATTCACTCCACAAAAGAAGATAATGTAAGATATCTGTCTCAGGTGTAGATTGTTTTTGTCCCTTTCTTACAAATGACATGAATGCCTATATCTATATTCGGATGTGTGGGATCTTGCTGTCATGGGGGATTGTTTGAGATGAGATTTCTTTTTATCTGCGTGTGTGTGTGTTGGGGGTGGTACTAGTTTTGTATAACGAACCTAAGTTTTTTATTCTGTAGAATGCATAACTTGATATTGTCGTTACTGTGCATTGCATGGGGAATGTTTGTATTCATATAGTTATTGTTGTGTTTCTGATTTGATGAATCTTATCCATTCGTTTGTTACAGCAGTCTTCAGATGCAGATGAAAGTGATGATGATAGCAGGCATTTGATTGATGAGGATGGGGCAATATTAGGAATTGGCAAGTTATTAAGTAGTTCTACTGTTGATTCGTTGTGTCAACTTGTCAAGGACCAGCAGGATGTGCCTTCCCTTGTAATGCTTTTAAATGCTTATAGAGCGGGAAGTCATTATGGAACTAAATCATTTGGTGTTCTCAGAGGTGCAGGAAGTCTTGCCAAGATTATGATATTTGTACTTCAGGAGGCCAACGATGTATTCCGGAAAATTTTGGGAGTTTCAAGTTCCTCTGAAAAGAAGGTCATTTTGGAACTAAGAAATACAGCGACATGGGAAAAAGTGAAGCCTCTCATTAAGTTGTACTTGAGAAGTACCATGTTTCTTTTGAACGAGGTTACGGACTCAGAGATATTAACTTTTGTGCTCAAGCGACTGAGGGCTTCTATTATCTTTTTTGCTGCTTTCCCATCATTACTGCAGAGACTGATCAAGGTATGGTAATTTATATGTAAAAAACTAGAAGAAGGCCATAAACTATGATCTTAGAGTAGACATTGTCCTTTTGTATGTAGCAGGTGTCTTACTTGGCCACCTTAAGCATGATATCCCTCTTCTCTTCCCTGGATATACCAGATGTTTCTTGTCTTGCTGATATCTAATAGGTGGATAATTTAACGTAGCTAGTTTGTTCCACTGGTTTCATGCTTTTGGAGCTCATACCTAATGAAGAGCTTGATTTCATTTTAGATATCTATTCATCTTTGGACAACAAGTAAAGGGGCTCTGTCAGTGGAATCGTTCCTCGTTATGCAAAATGTGGCTGGTGTGTTTAACTCGGATTTGTTCGACACATGCTTTGACAAGGCGTACAAGACCATAATTGGGCACTGCAAATTTGTCGATCCAGCCTTCTTCGGGCACCTTCAGTTTCTTAAGAAGTCCTTCATTGAGTTGTGTTCTCAAGATATGCAAAAATCATTGAGGAAGGCAATTATTTCAATCAGACAACTTGCTAAGATTTTGCAGCTTGGTTTACAAACTAAGCAGAAGGTGCATGCCTTCTCGGACTACTTAATTTATCCTTTAGTCCTTGCTGGTGTAGCTTATTTTGATTGACAGATGCATTATTACTGGGAAATGTTGTGAATCATCCCTTGTCATTTGTTTCTTGTATGCAGGAAGCAGTAAAGAGAATATGCAGCTGGCAGTATGTCAACTGCATTGATCTATGGGTTGAGTTCATATCAGTCAATATACACGATTACAATCTCCTGCCCCTGCTTCATACCATGATTCAGATCATAAATGGAGTAGCAGTGCTTTACCCGGGACCAAGATACTTGCCTTTGAGAGTTAAAACTGTTCAATGGTTGAATCTTCTGTCCAGTTCATGTGGTACATTCATCCCTATTGCATCATTGGCACTAGATATTTTGGAATATAAAATTGAAAAAGAAGGCCAGAAAGCTGGAAAGGATTTCACCTTGTCATCTGATGTAAAGGTTAGAAATGTTCTGTAGAAATTCTCAAATTGTTATGCCGTGATATGAGGTTTCGTGTTCTCAACATTGTTCAATCTGCATTTGTCTTTCCCGAATGTGCTTTGTTTAACTTCATACTTGTCATAGACCCGCTATCACTGTGTTGACTTTGTTCTTTTCTGTAACTTCATGTGCGGGTGTCTTGGAATTTATGATGCAGTTGCCAAAACACTGGATGAAATCTCGAAACTTTCTGGAAGCATGTGTTTTTTCTGCCCTTGAACTGCTTGCGGTGCACTTTGCTCAGTGGGGCTACCACATATCTTTTCCTGAGCTGGCTACTATTCCGTTGATCCATTTGAAGAAATTCCATGATAGGACAAGCATTGAGAGTTCCCGGCGATTGGTGAAACGTTTTATTGATCAGGTATGGACCTACTGATGGCATTTACATAATTACTTCCTTCAAAGTCCTCCAAAAATTCCTAGTGAAAAATTCCCTTGCACTAATTTATATGTGAAATAAGACTGTAAACTAGAAGAGGCTTGTGTTAGGCATTTATGCTGTTTGGGCACGCACGGTCTTGTCACATACATAAGTAATAACAAAGCCAAGCTCCTTCCCAGTACACACAAACTTTGATGACAAGTGGATGCCCATGGCTTGTGAAACTCAAGACATTGAGTCCTTACCTCTACGGTCATTTTGTGGTTGCATGTGAAAGCTCAGAGGAGTAATTAAAGAAGTTCTGCCTCGTAATGCATTAGGGTTAAACATACATATTTTGTAAAATTTGCCCTCATCTGACCTAGAAGATAAGGAATGTAAAATAGGTAAAGCCATATTGATTTTCTTTAAGAAGGTTAAATATTTAAGTAATGTGGCACGGGTGACATAGTTTATGGTTGCAGTTCTCTTTGATGGTTAAAGTGTTGACCCTCCCATCCCAAGTACATGGGAGGGGTTCCTTTTACCTTCTGTAGGCTGGCTCTAGCCTGATGGTTCACAATTGTTATCTGCTTGTTTGAACCATGTTTTGTCCAACATTTCAGGTGGAGCAGAATGTCGAGTTTGTCCGCAAGAAGAGAGATGAAGTTGCTTTCTCGCCTAAAGACGAGCAATTAGTGGCGTCATTTCTTCAGGTAGTTAGCTTTTGCACCTTCATGCATCCATAGATTGAACTGCATTCCTTGGGTGGTGAAATCTAACAAGTTCTTCTCTTGTGCATGTGAATGTTGCAGATGGAAAGTTCAAGTGGCAATCTTCCATTTATTCAGTACTACAAGAGTCTCATAGAAAAGGCAGCTTCTAGGGATCTGCTTCTGAGTAAAAACTTAAGGTGTGCGCTTCCATCTCAGTAGCTATGTTTAAATTGTTGGTCTGTGGCTCATCATGGCGCTGTAATGTATAGCGCTGTAATATACTACTGAAGGAAGAGGCCTATTATTCCAAGTTTGCTTATACTTGCTGTCTGGAAATTCAAAGCTTGTTTGTGCATTTAGGAGTTGAATTGCTTTCCTGAAACAATGCTGCGTATTATTTTCGTTGATCAGGCTGTAAATTGTTCTGCAGCTTTCTGGAGCCGAAGAAGGCGAAAGGAAAGAAGCAACGACCTCCAAATGGCATTATCAATGCAGCTAAAGAAATGGAAATAGGTGAAGAATAGGAAGTTCCTGTGAGCCTTACTGTATGATGCTTGAGAATCCAGTTTTGTTATTTATACAGGAAGCATCCTGTAGCAAAATCTTGGGCTCCGAAAATTTCAGTGACCTATGCATTTGCAGTTTTGAATTTTGATCGTATTTATATGAGCAGTTAATCGGGTCGAATGACCTATTTTGGCTATACATTCTTTCACGCTGACATAGACATGACCTATCATAATTCATATGCAAGGAACAAAGAGGGCGTTTTCAGCTTCTACGGGCAAAAAAGGAATGTGCATTTGATTGCATTGTGTTATCAATATTCAATAGTCAATACTAGTTGTAGGGAGAAAATGGTGGAAATTAAGTGAACGTTGTAAATCTATAGCTATTTAAGGTATGAGAGAAGCAAAAGGTGCAACATTCAAGCCACTGCAGAAGAAAATTGCAGTCTTGCTTCATGTTGATCAGTAGACGTACGACGGCTTTCTTCATTCTGGGATCTCAGTCTCTCACAGAAGGATTGAACAGCATGAACTGCACCCGAAATCTCTCTCTGGGGAAGATTGCTCCTTCTGCTGTTCAGTCACAGAACTCATTATCATCATCAAGCCTACGTTTCTAGTTAACAAGAACTCACACAGTCGGTAACGGCATGCAGACAAATGAGGCTTTAACCATAGCCCTACTGCCTTCTTCTCCACTGCAGCCCAAAACCCCAAGCAACCCCGGCCACAAGCTCTTCTTGTTCCTACTCCCCTCGACCTTCTTCACCACTGCTCGATTCCTTCCTTCATCGTCGGGCTTCATACTGCTGCTTAACTTCTTGCTCTGCCTGAACTTCATATCATCAAGCTCCATCTTCGCTGGAAACTTCCCCGCTCCAAATGCAAGCACATACCACCTCGATTTCATCGACACTCTGGCTGCTGATGGCAGTGGTGGACGGGGTGATCGTGGCAGTGGTAATGACCATAACCTTTTCACTTGCTGTTGCCTGGAATAATACTCCGCCGGTCTAGGTTCATTGTGGGACGATGATCTCCGCCTATTGAAGTTGTTCTTACTGTTAACAATCGTGCTCGTTTCGTCTGTGCTGTTGTTGTTCCCCTGATGAGGTTTCCTGTGTGGGATGATCTTCCCACAGAACATGATGCTTCCCTTGTCCTGGTTTTCTTCATCATGGCAAGTGGAGGAAGAAGGATTGAAGAACTCAAACACATCTTGTTCATGGTCATGATCATGATGACTTTCATCCCAAGCAATACTTCTGCTGCTGCTGCTGGTGGTGGCTGTGGTTAAGGGGAGATCGCGTAGCGAAAGGGTTTCTTCCTCCTCTTCTGAATCATATGCAGAAGGTTGATGAACAAGGTTCACAGTCCCAATCTCTTCCACAGCTGCCATTTAACTCTTGGGTGGGGATATCTGCTTTGTAGTTGATGTGAGTCTAGTCTGTAAGAACAAAAACACAGAAGAGGTGAGACAACAAAATCCTCCTTAGAAATGCAGTTAAAAAGGGGGAGGTGGCCGGGAGGAGGGGATCAAATGAGTTTGGGAGAAAACAAGGACAGTTGACTGGTATGGATCTTTTGCTTGCTTCCTTCACTGTCTGTTTGTTTGTTTGTTTCTTGGATTAGATGATTGAGGTGGAAAAGCATTCCCTTCTAGATGACGGTTACTGCTCATGGATGACAAATGTGCTCTTTGATGTGTATGTTTGAGTGGGATAGTATCTTGTTTAATTACTCGAGTTGTAGAGAGAAAATGTTACTATGGATCTCAGTGGTTTAGTCAGGATTTCGTTTAAGATGGGTCCACTGTACACATGATAAAATAGTTTTTTGTTAATATAATCTCAAAATTGAAAAATTTTGGTAAATTAAAATGCATTAGTAGTAAAAAAAAATATCAAGAATATCATTCTGCGTACCAAACAATTATTGATTTAGTTAGTCGTACACTCGTACTGTTTCAAATGGTTGTTCTTTGTCAAGAACCGTTAGTATCAATAAATCGAGTTGTTGATAAAGGTTTAATAATAAATCTTACACCAATCAATAATTCACGATTTAGCTTTCGAATAATGTTCTTTGCAAAAAAAACCATTTAGTATCAACAAATCGAGTTGTTGAAAGAGATTCAATAATATATATGATACCATTTACTAGCATGCTCCCTCATAAGAAAATCAACTTATACAAAATTGAAGTTTGCACAAATATGTATATTGTATTAGATTCAAACACAAAACTACTATTATCAATTAAATGTGACCTAATTTTCGATATCAATTAATTATCGTAACTAATTTAACCATTTTCCTCCCGAACTAGGGTGGGTCCCTGGACCCACCTTGTTACCCTCTCCCTCCGCCAATGATGGATCTTATATCACTCTTTTATATGTCTCCTCAAATGAAAGTCGAATTACGGGCTTGAAGTTTGCACTTGTCATTATATTTTGTGTTTTACTTAACTATTAATATTGATGATAGTGAAAATTCAAACACATAATCATTTTGACAAACCAGATTCTTATATCATGTCTAGTAACTCCAACTATATAGTAAAACCCCCTTTCAACAATGGATGGAGAGTGTTTTTGTAATTATGAGTGTTGCTTTGAGAATCACGACAATGGGGGAAAGATTGTTTTTAACTCAGCCGTCCTTGTAATTACTTGGCTTAATTCATCTTAACAAAGAATCTAACCTCAATTTGAGTTCTAGAACAACAGCTGTTTGTAATTTGTTCTAGAACAAGACAAAGCAGGTTGGACTTGTATTCCAAGGTAGGTATAGCTTTGGACGATTCGTCTTGTGTAAAATAAAATTGCCTGCATTCTATTCCTCCAATTTGCTACTTTTCTTGTGAAATGTATTAAATGTTTATTATTATGTTGTTGCAGGCCGTACCTCTCTCTCTTGAATTAAACTAACCACAATCATTTAGCCCGACACAAAAACTTAAACAACTGCAATTCTGAAGATAGGAAGTTCTGGTATGAGTCTAAAGAAATTACCGAATCGTTGAAATGGCTTGTTTCCTAACAAAATTTTTCTGTTCAACGAGGAGGTGTGAGTCCAAAGACATTATAATAACCGTTCACATTCAAGGTCTTGTCATTCCTAGAAGGTGAAATGATGTCATGCTAAGAGTTGGCACGAGAGCCTCGCCACACATGTGAAATCTACTTGGTGTAATGTGGCACCAAGTCTAAGGGAGTGATTTCACGCCTGGGAGATGGCACAAATCTCGGATCCAAATGGTAATGAATCAGCGACTTAGAGATGTGCAATGATCTGGTCTCTATCGCATGATTCAAATCAAATATTGAAACAGACCGAACCAAATCAAACATAACGTGATCCGATTCTTGGTTCGATTCGGATCGGACCGATCCGTTGCACACCCCTCCTATATTATCAAGCAAGTTAAGGAAGGAAATGCTCTTTCTAGAGAAAAAAAATGGAAGGTAGGTGCGTCATTGATGAGCTCAAAATTGCGTGTGCTCTCTAGAGGCTTTGAGCCCAAACAGAAATCTTCGTTGTAATTTTGGTGGATCCAGTGGACTACTCCCTGATCCATTTTTCTGGGTCCAAGAGTCTCCTCCAACTTTGGACTTCCTCCTCGTCTAGAAAACGCGCTAAACGGCGACGGAAGGAAGATAAGCTGACGACACGACACCGTATTTTGACTACTGCTGCTCCTTGACCTGGCCCGAAACTAACCAGTCCTCATATAGGTCACATTTTCCTTTTGTAAACAGTAGGGTTAACCAAACCACCATGATTCATGTGATATCAACTGCATTTTAATTATTGATTAGCGGAGGGGGAAAAAACATTAAATTAACATATTTTTGTATTCAAATTAAACAATATTGGCGATTAATGTGACATTGAGATCCCATTTACCGTCAAATATTATTATGGACATAATTGTGATTATTGTACAGTTCATCCAAATGGATAATTGCGTATGCAAAGTTCAAAGTCATATATGAAGATCAAGGCGGAAACCGAACAACAAATGGAGTGAACTTCCAAACTCTAAACTAGAGAGTAATATGTTAAAGCAGCGGCGGATCCAGGACATAGTAGAGTACTGGGTCGCATATCATTAGAAAATTAGATACCGTAAGAAAATCACAATTTATTTTATAATATCAATTGTACACGTCGATTTTTTAAATTTTAATATAGTGAATTCATCAATAATGGAGTTTACATCCACACTAATAACATACTCTCTTTAAAATAAAATAGTTAACCAATTGACGAGAAATTCATAGCTCATTTTGTTGCGCAAATAATTTTTCACACGTTTCATTGTTGAAAAGTTTCTCTCCATAGTAGTTGAAACAAGCAATGTCAACATTGGACAAATCAATCGAATATATTGTGTATCAATTCTTATTTTCACCAGCTGCTCTGGTAATTTCTTAAGGGAATAAACCTCATATTTTTTTAGTCTTTTACGTTTTAGAATTTTAGGTTTCATTGTTTGTTTTTCTTTAGATGAGAATCATTGGAGCTAGAATTTTCAGGCTAAATTTAGAGTAGTTGTGATTTGGATATGTTCATCTTACCCATTTTCCTAATTATACACAATTTTATGATAAAATAACACTGGGCCGAATGGCTAAAATCGATAAACTCATAAGCACTATACTAGCTCCGGATCCAGGGGAGGGCTGGGCCGTGGACCAAGGTGGCCACCCCTGGATCCGCCACTGTGTTAAAGGATGAAAGCTGTATCTCAACTCTCAATACAAATTTGAATATCCTTAAGCCAACTCTTTTATTTTGTTTTACTTTCTTAACGTAATTATCGAGTTTGTATCATTGATATTTATAAGGAAAGACAATTACCTTTGCTCTCTTTGCCTTTGGCTGCCCACTACATACCTTTGCTTGATCACTTTTTGGACCATGTACGACAATAATGGAGGGGCTATCACCCATCAAAGTTTAATACAAGATAGTGGTGCATTGCACCCAATTTTAATAATTACATAAATATATGTATCGCCTTCAGTGTTCATTCTCGATTGATTGAGTTCCCTATCACCTCATCCTGTCTCAAATATCGTCATTGCCCCTCCACACCATGTTGTCACTTCCCATCACGATTCCTCTTTTTGGACCGACTTTAAATTGTAACCACGAGTCTGTGCCGTCGATTATAAGAATCGCTAGTTTGAAATTTTTATTTTAAGTTGTCAGATTATTCTTTACGAGGCAAAGAATTATCCTCCTTATTTCGCCATTATGTCAACAATCCCACGTATTCTTTCAAATGAATGAATGAAGTATTTATCAAGAATGTATATACATTTCGTTGTTAACTTATCATGCATAGGCATAGTGACCACGTTGGGGTTTCATAATACTATATTAGATCAACCAAATTGCATGGAACATTCACTATAAATCACGTTCTTGATTTGCTTGGTAATATAATATATGGTAATGCATTTGGTGGTTACGATTTACGATTGCATTATGTTTAAACAAAGCTTAGAAAGAAAGGTTGGTGATTCGGATTCGATCACGAGGAACTGGACTTCATTTGTATAGCTGGGAATCGGGATTGCATCAGAGAGATATATATCATTATAGAATGCTTAGTGGGGCAATCATGATTAACATGAGTAAGTAATTAGCTGGGAAATAGAGAAACATGGCATTGCCATTGTTGAGTTGTAGAGCCCAACCGCAGTGGGCCAATTGTATTATTATCCACGTATGTATAGGAGTAGGATTATGGAACTAGGGTTTTCGGGTATGAGAACCTATATATATGTATGTAAACTGTACCTGCCGATCAAGTTAATACGAAAGACCTACCTGCTTCGGCCGTGGACTAGTCTCGTTCATCCTGAACGAGGAAACCACGTAAACTCTTGTGTCGTCTCCGTTTTCGATTCTGTTACGTGAATTTACATGGTATCAGAGCCTGCGATGGATTCCGATCATATCTCCGTTAAGCTTACCTCAAAGAACTATGCTCTTTGGGAATTTCAGTTCAGAATTTATATTGAAGGAAAGGGACTGTTGGGGCATATCGATGGCACCACTCTGAAGCCCGACGCGGCCACCGCGTCTGCCGAATCGGTTCGTAAGTGGAGTCTTGATGATGCCAAGGTCAAGACAGCGATCGTCAACTCCGTTGATCCGGCGATTGTCCTGGGACTTCGCCTTCTTCCCACCGCTGCTTCCATGTGGAAGCATCTTGCAGAGACCTACGCCACAATTACAGCTGCTCGTCAATATGAGATAGAGGTCGAGTTGGCTCAGCTTCATCAAGGCGATCGCGACGTCGCTACGTACTACAACACGGCACGCCAACTCTGGACAGAACAAGATTTGGTTGCTGGGTCCTTGATGAATGCGACGGCCTCGACGGAGATGCAGGCTGAACGAGAACGAACAAGGCTGTACCAATTCTTGATGCGTTTGCATCCCGCCTTTGAGCCTGTTCGTGCGACCCTCCTGAACCGCGAAACCTTGAAGACGGCGGAAGTTCTCAGCTACCTCATCCGCGAGGAGACTCGGTTGAGAACGCAGGCTGCGTTGGACAGCCGCCCGGGCCAAGGCGATGCTGTGTTCTCCGCTCGCGGTGTGCTACGTGCTGCTCCCGGCGCTGCTCCCGCCAAAGATGCTGCCGTGGCGGACGATGTAGTGGAAGATCAGGCCATGGCTTTTGCTGCTGGTCGCGGCCAATTTCAGCGGCGCCTCTCATCGAGTGAGGTAGAATGTCATTTTTGTCGTTCCAAAGGTCATACTCAAAAGTATTGCAGGACTCGAAATTTCTGTGTATATTGCAAGAAGTCTGGGCATATCATTCCCGACTGCCCAGTTCTCCAAGGCCGAATTCGAGAAGGCAGCTTGACTGGTGGTGCCTCTCAACGCCGATCTGGTCCCGCTTATGCTGCCGCGCCTGTCACTACTGCGGTTGCGCCTACGGATGGTCCCACTATCTCGACCGAGACTCTGGAAAAATTGATGAGCAAGGCCATTTCCTCTGCATTTGCTTCTCTTCAAGTATCCGGTAAAATTCCTCCTTGGATATTGGATTCGGCATGCTTTAATCACATGACAAGTAAAGGATCAATGCTTCACAATATTCGTTCTGTTAATGGTTTGTCATTACAAGTTGCTAATGGTGCTCATATGCATGTTGATGGGATGGGTACTGTTGAGGGTTCTACGATACATCTTCCTGACACGTTACATGTACCCAATCTTGTTCCGAATTTGGTTTCTGTTGGTCAGCTTACTGATCAAGGTTGTCGTGTTGTTTTTTCTCCTTCTGGCTGTTCTGTTCAGGATCTGACGACGGGGAGGGAGATCGGCCAGGGGCGTAAATGTGGTCGCATTTTTCACCTGGACGCTTTGGAGCGCACGTCCACACCATCATCATCATCATCATCTTCTCGGTTTTCTTCCTCTCATTCGGTGTCTAGGGTTAATTTTCCTTCGGTGTCTAGGGTCGAGTCTTTGCCTGTTTTTTCAAGTACTGCCGAACAAAAATTTCATTTATGGCATGCTCGTTTGGGCCATCCTCATTCTGGTCGGCTTGTGACTATGTTTAAACAACGATTGTTCGGTCCTAATGTTTTGGCTGGCTGCTCTTCAAAATTATCTTGTTCTGGTTGTGTTGAAGCCAAAACTACGCGTATTTCCTTTCCTTCAAGCCAGACTGTGATTACAGAACCATTTCATTTGATCCATACAGATCTTTGGGGAGCTAGTCCTGTTACCTCTCGTCATGGGTATAAATATTTTGCTCTTTTTATTGACCATGCGACGAGGTACACATGGGTTTATTTTTTGCGTCTTAAATCAGATCTTTTATCGGTTGCCACTGAATTTCTTACTATGGTTAAGACGCAATTCGGTAAACCCGTGCGGGTCATTCGCTCTGATGAAGGTGGGGAGTTTAGCTCCACTCCCTTGCTCTCGTTGTATAAGTCCCTGGGCATTCTTTCCCAAAAATCGTGCCCTGGTGTGTCGCAGCAAAATGGCTTGGTTGAACGGAAGAACAGGCATGTCTTAGAAGTCACTCGTGCTCTGTTGTTATCCTCTCGTGTCCCTTCCTCTTTTTGGCCTGACACTGTCTCTACTGCTGTCCGTCTCATTAATTATCAAATTACCTCGGTTCTGGGTCAGTCTAGTCCGTATTTCAAATTATTTTCCAAACATCCTCCTTATTCCCGTCTTCGTGTCTTTGGTTGTACTTGTTTTGTTCTGCTTCCTCGGTCTGAACGTACCAAGCTTACTTCCAAAACAGCTCGGTGTGTTTTTCTTGGGTACAGTGATGTCCATAAGGGCTACCTTTGCTTTGATCCTGTCCTTCAACGTATTCGTACATCCTGCAATGTAGTCTTTTTCGAGGGTCTTATGTACTACTCTCAGTCCTCTGCATCTCCTTCGCTGTTTGATACCGCCTTGGGACCTCCTTCGTTTTCTGATGATGATGATGTGCTCCATGACGATGACCACATCCCTGCCGATTTGGATGCTCCTCCCTCCCCGCCCACGCCTCCGACTCCTGCCTCCTCATCGCCGCCCACGCCTCCGACTCCTGCCTCCTCATCGCCACCTTCATCACCGTCTTCGCCACCACCTTTACGGCGCTCTCTCCGTTCTAATCTTGGGCAGCCCCCTCTTCGTTATAATGATTTTGTGACCTATGGTATTGATTCTATTCCGATTCCTACTCGGTTTTCACAGGCGCAGGGAGATCCGAATTGGGACAATGCTATGACTGAGGAGATTTCGGCACTTCATGCTAACCAGACGTGGGATCTTGTTGATCGACCTCCTCCTGAGGTCCCAGTGGTGGGCAGTCGTTGGGTCTACACCATCAAGGTTCGCCCTGATGGTACTCTTGAGCGTTTTCGGGCCCGTGTTGTGGCTCAGGGGTTTACCCAGGAGTATGGCGTTGACTTCACAGAAACTTTTGCTCCTGTGGCCAAGATGGTCACTGTTCGCTCTTTGCTTGCTGTTGCCTCTCTTCGCCAGTGGCCCCTTCATCAGCTAGATGTGAAGAATGCCTTCTTACACGGCGACTTAAAGGAGACAGTTTACATGGAGCGTCCTCCTGGCTATTCGCCTGAAACTCCCGATAAGGTTTGCCTTCTACGTCGGTCTCTTTATGGTTTGAAGCAGGCTCCTCGTGCTTGGTTTGATAAGTTTCACAGTACGATACTGGGTCTTGGATTTCAGCAGAGTCTCAACGATCCCTCTCTGTTTACTCGTCGGTCTTCTCATGGTTTGGCTATCTTACTTCTATATGTCGATGATATGATTATTACTGGTGACGATTCTGCTGGTATTGAAGCTTTGACACAGGGTCTCCATGCCTCCTTTCATCTGAAGGAGCTCGGTTCTCTTTCTTACTTCCTTGGTCTAGAAGTTTCTCGTACTCCCGGAGGTCTCTTTCTTAGTCAGAAGCGCTATGTTGAGGACTTGCTCGAGACCGCCGGTTTTTGTGACTCGACTCCGGTATCTACCCCGTTGGAGATTAATCTGAAATTGGGTCGTGACTCTGGGGAGGCTTTGAAGGATGGGGGGAAGCAGTATCGTAGTATTGTCGGCAGTTTAATTTATCTGACCTCTACTCGACCTGATATTTCTTATGCTGTCCAGGTAGTGAGTCAGTTTATGTCAGCTCCTCGTACAGCTCATCTTGATGCAGTCCATCGCCTTCTGAGATATCTACGGGGCACGACAGGAGTTGGTCTCTTCCTGCCATCCACAGGGAAATTAGTTTTGCAGGCATTTTCTGACTCCGATTATGCAGGATGTGTAGACAGCCGAAGGTCTACATCTGGTTGGTGTGTTCGCCTTGGAGATTCTTTCCTATCATGGCGGTGCAAGAAACAGGACAGAGTTTCGAAATCCTCTACTGAAGCAGAGTATCGAGCCATGTCTGATGTTACTTCAGAGCTTGAATGGCTGGTACGGTTGCTTGGTGATTTTGGAGTTACTTGTGAAACTCCTATGCAGTTATACGTGGATAATACTAGTGCTATTCAGATTGCTACAAATCCGGTTCTTCATGATAGAACTAAGCACATCGAGGTGCATGTTCATTACATTAGAGATCTTGTTCGCGATGGCACAGTGCAGGTTCGCTATGTTACTTCTGAGGATCAGATTGCAGATTTGTTTACGAAGTCCTTCACTGCGGGACGTCATTCATATCTTGCTGGCAAATTGATGATGCGAGACCTCCATCAATTTGGGGGAGGCTGTTGAGTTGTAGAGCCCAACCGCAGTGGGCCAATTGTATTATTATCCACGTATGTATAGGAGTAGGATTATGGAACTAGGGTTTTCGGGTATGAGAACCTATATATATGTATGTAAACTGTACCTGCCGATCAAGTTAATACGAAAGACCTACCTGCTTCGGCCGTGGACTAGTCTCGTTCATCCTGAACGAGGAAACCACGTAAACTCTTGTGTCGTCTCCGTTTTCGATTCTGTTACGTGAATTTACAGCCATGCCATCAACTAACATGCATGATGACAATTTGAGGATTGCAATTGTACCCGTAATCGTGGGTATCCGACTCTTCTCGATTTTGATCCTGTCAGTGAGAAAAGTTCTCGTATTGATAAGTTTTGGGGCTGATATGGATAGTACTCACACAAAAAGTGGCGGGGATGAGTCGAGATGGGTTGAAGTGTTTCCGTCCCATCACCATAATCGCCACGCATGTAGTACATATACTACCTATATCCAATTACTTGTTATACGATCTGTCTCTCATCCACCTTTCACTAAAATTTTACAATATTGCAATGCTGAAAACCTTCATTTCACTTTTTTTCAATTTCATTAACACATGTATGTCATCTTTTATCCCTAATTTTTCCTAAAAAAGTATTTTGTTATGTTTCTCATACTTTTTGTGGTTCATTACGATACATAATCTATGTACGACGTTATACCTCTAAAATCATCTATGTCTTCCCCTTAATTACATTAATTTTAACTTTAATTTGGTTCGGATTCGTGAGGATGGTATTATCTTATATCTATGAGTATCAGAAAACCGCGGAAACGAGGATGGAGTCATGGAGATTAGAGATTTAAAAAAAAAAACTTTCACTTATACCACGACAAAAAGGGTATGAATTTACGAATTAAAAATGAGATAGAGATAAATATAGGAGAATCCAGTCAAAACCCGTCTCATTGCCATTACCACGGCCATATGTACAAGCTACCTAAGAGAAGATCAATAAGCACTCATTGGATTCAAGATTATGATGATTACTCATAAAAAAGCTCTTCATTAGTAATTTACAAACTAATGACGCCGCTAAACAGAACAGTAACAGAGAACTCGTAAGCAGGGGAAAAAAATTGTCCTAAAACAGAGGAAATGATCGGTATAAGGTAAACTAATCAAGGGCGAGCTCCGGCCAAAATCCTGAGCAAACACCATAAACCCTTTCCAGATTTACTACCGACGGCGGTGGAATTAGCATCCGGCAGCTTGGAAGACGACGACGACGATGATGTTGTTGAAACATCAAAATCAAGACTGGTAGAAGAGCTCCGGCGACTCTGCCTCAGCTTAATGTCCTTGAGATCCATACTCCTCACCGGCAACTTCCACTCCACCCCAATCGCCAAACACAAATACCCTCTTGCTCTCCACCTCCCAGCCCCGGTTCCCTTCTTCTTCTTCTTCTTCCTGCCCGGCGACGAACTAGATGAATTCGACGCCGATGATGATGAATTGGACGAGGAGGAAGAGGAGGAGGAGGAGAATGATTTCCAGGGGAAAATCCTGCTTCCTCTGCCTCTGCTGCTGCTGCTCTGTTTCTTCTTGCTCTGCTTCTTACCCTCTTCCTTCTTCCTCTTCTTCTCATTACTCATCATCAATGTAACCTTGTCCTGTTGTTGGACTGCTAATTGTCTGTGAGCAATGAGCTTCCCGCAGAAGACGATGCTGTTATTCAAATCGATGTCTCTGTTTTTGGTGGTGGTGACATCAAGGGATTGATCGGCTGTGAACGAGTACTCCCTCGAGAACTCGAACCCATCTTCGTCCTCCTCCTCATCATCATCACCATCAAGAGCAGCAGCAAGATGGTTCTGATTCATGTTGTTGCTGCTGGTGTTGTGGAGAGGAAGATCACACAGGGAAAGAATGTCTTCATCGTCCTGTTCTTCATCACGGGCAGCCGGGCTATGAGTTGCAGTGGTAGTACTGTCCGTGATGTGGCGGTGAGGAAAAGGAAGTAGCAGTGGGATTGTTGTAGGAAACGAGGAGGCGTCCATTTTTCTTTGTGGATTTGCAAAACAGAGTAAGAGAGATGGCTGGTTTGTTGTGAATTGTGATGGAGGTTTCGATTCTGTTTTTTTGGGGGGGGTTTATTTATACATATATATGGAGCTGGTTAGCTGAAGCAGAAGGCGACAGAGAGTTTTGGAGTTTTATGTTCGGCTTTAAGCGACTTTCTGGCCGGAGAGAGAATTGTTACTAGAATGTTAGTATTAGTATGATCCAATCAATCGCCTTCTAGATAGAGATAGGAAATCAAACTCATGGTTGCGGGTAGATCGTTCCCGACCCAGTTATTACGGGGAATCCCCGCTTTGATCTGGTATGGGATGGGTATGGCTAAATAAAACCCACAAAAAGTTTGATAGGTATGGAGGGTATGATTTTAGCCTCCCCGCCCCATACTCATACTCATACCCGCTCCATGAAGAGAACTTATTCACACATACAAAAATATGTGTATCAAATTGTAATCTATCAATGATGATGATGATAACTCAAGAAAATAAATAACAGAAATGCAATTGAGTGGCGACACTAATCAAAACCTAATTCATTTTCCTCGATTCTCCCTTCACTCTTTCACTTTCCTCCTTGTCAACCAGGTTATGTTAGTTAATTATTACTTAGTAGATGTATTAGAGTTAGAGCATAATAATTTGGAAAATATTGTACTCTATATTATGTATTAATGGATGTTTTAGGATTTTTTTTAATCGTTTTAAGAAAATGATCGTGTTTTATTGACTTCATGATATAATAGATTCGTTTGGTGTTATAATTAAAACATTTCTTCTAAGTTTTAGATACAATCATGTTGGATGTACGGGTACGGTTATTACCCATGGGTACCCGAAATCCACGGGTATCGGGATGGGTTTGCAAAATACTCCCTCACGTCACATGGGGTATGGGGCGGGTATGGGTTTGGGTATTTGAAAATGAAGATGGGGATGCTTTAGGCAAACATGCCCCAAACCCGCCCCCATTGCCATCCCTACTTCTAAACACCCTCCTCTAGGATTCTGTTCGGTTTTTTTTTGAAACCGTACCGTGTTAGTGGTTCAGGAGAAAAAATTTGGCAGAGGTTAAGTCAGTAAGTAATTTTTTGCGATATGAAATGATTGATTCATGTATTCAACACAGAATATCATATCATTAACTTTTCTTATACAATCTCTTTTACGGTTTTGTAATCTTGCCCCTATCCAAGAGTATAATTAAATAAATAATAATGTGGCATTAGACACGAAGGAAGCTAAGTGTTGACACCTAAAATTAATTTGTCCTGAATTAAATGCCGCATTAATTAGTCTCGGCATTTAATTCGATACCGCGGGTTTAAAACGGTGTCGTTTGGAGTTGAGCGGTGTCGCGGAGAGTTAAAACGATACCGCGAAACAGAAAAGCGGTACCGCGACACAGACAACGACACCGCCGGAAAATAAGATGGGGCCGCGTTATGGGAAACGACACCGCTTAATGAAAAACAAGAGGGGCCGCGCGTGTAGTTGGGTTGGAGAAGGGAGTTTTATAATTAATTATTACTTATTCCTCATCGGAAGAGGAAAATCGGCGCCGAGGAACATTAAAACGGTACCGCAAGGGAGCTCAGCGGTACCGCGGCATTGGAAACGGCACCGGACACCGAAAATAAAATAAAGGGCCGCAATATTGCAAAAGGCTAGGGGAGACAAATAAAACAAATACATCAAAGCTCCACCGTTTGGTTCACAGCAGCGTTGGGGGTTTTTCGGAGAAAGGAAGCCGCGCCGGGGTAGCCTAGAACAACGTTGCAGAAAGGAAAGTTCATAATGGATCGATTGGGTAAATAACTTTGGCCACAGGGATCATTCGCGTGAGAGTAGTAAAATGCGGTCAAGGCTGTTGAGGAACCCAATCGTACGTGGAGTAGTAAAAAAGTAAAACGTTGTTGTTTTATCAACACAGCGTTGCGGGCTAAGAAAAAACCTCACCGCAACGTTGTATAGAGGCCGAACAATGTTGTGGCCACAATAAAGGAAGATACAGGACAATCGTGGGGATTACGGAAGCTTGCAGGCTTGTTGGGCATAAATCAAGAAACAGACACACCGTCATATTTGCCCCCAAACGTTGCGGAGCAAAGGAGACTGCAGGCCTGCGTTCTTCTTTTTCCGTCTCGCTCAAGGTAAAACATTGATGTGGTGTATTATTGTTGTTGCGTTCCACTAAAACACGTTTGTGTAATGGCCTTGGTGTCGCAGCGTTGTATAATTGAGCAACGTTGTTGGCTTGAAGCAATGCTGTAGTCGCAGTAATGAGAGGGATTTATAAGCTGGCCAAGTTTATTTATTGATTTTTAATTTTGGCCCAAAGCCGCGGAATTGGCCGCAGCATTGCTGGCGAGAGGGGAAAGTCCAATACGGCTGAAACTCCACCGTTGAGGATAGGAGAGGAACGAAACTGGCTGTTTGTGGTTAGAATTTGATTGCAATAAAACGGTACCGCAAGGAGGCTCAGCGGTACCGCGGTACTGGAAACGATACGGAAGAATAAAAAAGAAGAAGGGCCGCGCGTGGGGTGTCTTGTGGGAGAAGGAGTTTTGTTTTTAATTAATTAATATTTTCACTCCTGGTTGGAGGAGGAAAATCGGTACCGCGGAGGAAAATCGGTACCGCGAGAGCTTGGCAAGCGGTACCGATGGGCAAGTGACCAAAATTCACACGGCCCAATGCGAGCGCCCACTCCGGCGGTACCGTGGATTAATATTTTTGGCTAAATCGACGGTGTCGTTTAATTTAAAACGGTACCGCGAGTAGACCCAACGGTACCGCGGATTAGCAAACGACACTGTTTAATAAAAAACAATGTCGCAAAAGGCAAAACAAACGGAGCCGTTTTGGCTCTAACGATGTTGTTGTTCGTGGACTAGTGATGGTCAGTTAGTTAATATTTTAATGACTTTTTTAGCACGGTGTCGTTAGTTGGAAACGATGCCGCAAAGGAAAGAAACGATACCGCGAGCAGGCCAAACGAGGCCGCAACCGTTAAAACGACATTGTTTAAGATTAAAACAGTGTCGCGAGGCTCAAAAATTCAACGACATCGCGGGACAACGAAATGATGTTGTTTAACTAAGAACGACGCCGAGGGGTGAGAGTTTGGCGGCGAGAAAACAATGCGGGTGTTTTAATTAATTAGTATTGTATAACTATTTTAGACGGCGTCGTTTAGTTGAATACGACGCCGCGGAAGGTAAAAACAACCCTGCGGTACTAGGAAAGGAACGACATTGTTTAGTCAAAGACAATGTTGCAAGAGTTTGACAGTGTCGTGAAAGCGATACCGTTTTGCCCAAAACAAGGTCGCGAGTTCGACGACGTTGATGAGCTTTAGTTCAGTGTTGAGAAATTCAACAACACCGTGAATTCAACAAAGTTAGGCATCAATGGTGGGAATCCGACGAGGCCGGGATGCTAAGAGCTACGTCAATGTTGTAAGCCATGAATCACCATCGAAAGTGGCATTGATATTGTGAGTGCATCGATATTGCAAGGCTGGGAGCTCAGCGTTGCGGTGTTGTTTGTCATACGCCGCCGTTTTATGAACAAGAATGAATGTAGTTTGGCTTGAGAGGTTGGGGTGGATTATCGAACCCGGGTGGATAATTACAAGGGTGGCTCAATGTCGTTTTGTCAAGTTGCTACGTAGCAAAGCGGTTTCGCACTCGTGGGAGTTACGCAACAAGGAGGAAGTTACCTGCGCGGTTGACAGGAGTGAAGACGTGGGAGACAAAGGCGCGAAGGCAGTTACGGCGACGAGAAGAAGCGCGAAGTATAAAGACTGGGGAGAGAGAGAAGTTAAGGGACGGCAAAATCAAATCACAAACTGCACCGTCGCAGATTTTATCTTTTCTCTCTCTAGTTCGTAGAACCGCTCTGTCAAAGAACTCCTTTGCAGAGTCGTAGATCGTAGCTTGTAGTCGTAGTCGCGGAGCTCTCCAGAGGAACCTCCATAGGAGTAGAGGTAACGTAACTTAGAACACTCCTGGTTCGATTTTCTGTTTATTCGAACACCCTCGTTCGAACGTAGTTTGGAGAGGTGTTGAACCGAATAACAGTTGTGTGATTAGAAGTCAAAGGTGTATCGATCAAATCAACGACGCCGACACCGGCGGCGGCCATTTGACGATCGTCTTTATTTCTGTTTTAATCGATCAAATCAACGGCGCCGACACCGGCGGCGGATATTTGACGATTTTTTGCTGACGTGTGCTTTGTGTTTTACTTGAAAACCAGTGCACATTGAACACGCGAGTTTCGCCAACGAAACAAATTGGCACACCTGGTGGGACCCGTGTGTTCGAATGGCTCCGCGGAGGAAGAATCTCGAGGGCGATCTTCCACCAACTTCAGTGGAGGAAGAGCCAATGGTCAATGTAGAGACTGACCAGAGTGGCGGTTCACACGGCGGTTCGAGCAACGACGCCGGAGGGGAAGTGCCAGCAGTGGCGCAGGCTGCCAACCAGGGTGAGATAACACGCATGCTTCGCCAAGTCATGGCTGATAACCAACAGGTAAAACTTCACTTAGCCTCTTTGGATGGACGTCTTGATGGTCTTAGTTCTCGGATTGATAGACGTGTTAGCCAACTGGTTGAAGTCGTTGATAAAAACAGAATGGATTTTGAAAGTAACAGGCGTGATTTTAATGATTTTAGAGAGTTTTTGAATAGGCCAGTGCCACAAACAAGGGCTTTGCCGTTAAGCGGCGAGAATCCGTTACACAACGACACTGGCGCCTTTCCGGTCAATGGCGGCCGAGATACTCAGCCGAGACAGAGCGTTTCGCCGACACCGGTGGTGAACCCAACGAGTCCGTCGAGAGTAAATCCCGGCGAGACCAGCACTGCGGCTAACACTCGTGTTGAGCCGCCACCAGTGCATAATGTGGGTCCACAAAATATCCCGGAGGCCAGACCCTACGTGGCTCCGATGAGTGGTGCTGGTGGTGGA